TAGAATATAATGTGTTTTTGTGTTTTTTCTTGTTTTTTTTAACCAGTCTGGTCATCCGGATGCCAACCGCATCCAAATTGTTTGTCAAGAACGCCTGTCCCATGGTGTCTTTTGTTTCCAAGATTGAGTTTGGGGGCATCTAGGGCAAAACACCTGCTCTCATGCAAACATATATGTATCGTTGAGTGAAAACAAAACAAAATCCTTTGGGAAATTCTGTGTCAAATGTGATTCAAAGTGATATCGCATGAGTTTGACTAATAAAGCACGTCCAAGATAAAGATCCGGCAGCAGTACAAAAGGTTGATAAATTTGCTGCACATCATGTCTCAAGGGTAAACATCGACATTGATGAGTAAACATCGACATTACACAAATGCGCAGGTAAACTTCGACATTAGTGAAATGCGTAGGTAAACATCAACATTGGACTCTCAGGGTATTATATATATATGTGTGTGTGTTTTGTTTTACTACATTTGGCTCCTGGGCTGACAATCCCAAATGACAAGTATATTTCTTCAATGGGTGGCTCAACCACCAATCAGATTAGTTCATGTTACCTACGTTTGACTGCAAGGTTTTTTTCCATCAAACCGGCAGATGTTTTGCCAAAATTCCCATCTTCCCTTTGGGAAAATTGGAAGATCCAGGTATCTTATCCCATATGCTCCATTTGCCCCAAAAATCACCCAAATGTAGGTAAATATACCATACATGGAGCATATGGGTATGATTACCAGTATCCCATGTTTTTGTGTTGATGTTACTGCCCATCCGCAAAGCAGGAAATCTTCGACCAGTTCGACAAGGAGTCTCGCTGTTCTCGGGGCAGCATTGACGTACTGAGGTGAGCATGTGTATACTGGTTGGTGGTTTGGAACATGTTTTATTTTCCATTTCATACATTGGATAATCCTTCCCATTGACTTTAATATTTTTCAGCGGGATGGAAACCACCAACCAGTATAAATCGACTGGTAAACGTAGAAACGAAATGTGTTTCTCACCTGCGTGTGCCCAATGAATTGTTACAAAACATGTTTATTATAGAATGTCCACGTACATGGTGTGCCCATGCAGATTTCATACTTCAGGGGTGGCTTCTTCCAAATCGGGTGTGCCCATGCGCGGGGGTGACTTTTTACGGATAGGTGTGACTTAACACGACCACCAATTATTATATACTACTGTATTTGTTTATACATGTATACATATAGATATCCGTTTATCCGCACATGACGATAACTCATGTTGAGAACTTAACTATATTGTTTGCAGATGATCTAAGTTGAGAATGGGTCCATATTAGCCGGTCGGCCTTGGAACTAAGATAAAGCAAAGGCTCTATTTTGATTCGCAGGAGCGAATACCAATGAATTGGTGGTAGAAGGACAGCATTTGCCAAACATTTCCTCTATCATCAACGCACACACACACTATAGATCTATAGTGAATCTATAGAACCTTGGTCTTGTAGCTGTGTTCACTGAAGGTGTTTATTGTCGGGCGAAGGGATTCTGGCAGCTTTCAAGAGATGTGTTCTTGAGTTTGACTGACACAAATCGGGGATGTAAACATAAACAATGGGGAATTGAATGTACAGTATTTAAGCAACCAATGTAACATGGACTCGACCAACAAAAGTGGGAATAGGTCGTCAGATGTGACTGTATATTTATCCAGATGATTTCTGGATAAACATCTCCCCTTACTGTACATTATACTCATTATACATTGATTTGCTTTTTCTTGGTGTGAACAGAAGGGTAACAAAGATACAAAGATGGGGCCATGTTTCAGCATTTTTTCCGATTTGTGGGGCCATCTATCCATCTTACTGGTGCTAAACATAGGGAATTTGAGGGAATGATCCACAATCACATTCGTAATCATAATCCCAGCAAAAATTCCCAGCAAACCATCCAGCAACCCATCCAGCAATCCATCCAGCAACCCATCCAGCAACCCTACGTAAAACGCACCAGCCATGTCTATCCAGGACAAGAGTGGCCAGATGAGCATGGACGAATTCAATTGGGCCTATGCCACGCTACAGCAGGAAGTTGAGGACACTTCAGGGTGGTTCCTGGAAGCCCAAGGTGGGTGTCCCCCAGTTGCGTTACGTAAAGATGGTATAAGCCATTCACATTTTGGGATTATAGATGTATGTCTATCAGAAAGCGTATTGATTGGAATTATTCAAGTTGATAAGCCAACTTAACTAGTTATGGGACCACACCTTGAATGACTTTATCCATACCAAAGTAGTTGTTGCTGCTCAAGCCAGGAGAATGCGGCTCTGAAGATACAGGCGATGCAACGGTCCACCAGCTGCCAACGATGGCAACTGCTGTTCACTATTATTTCTGGTTGGTGGTTTGGAACATTTTTTATTTGTTCCATATCTTGGTTAATAATAATCCCAACTGACTAATATGTTTCAAGATGATTAAAACCACCAACCAGATTTGGAAGGGAAAGCTATGATGTTCATGGCCAACAAACAGGAACCTTGGAAGTTTTGGAATCAATTATATACCTGGCGTTGGTCATCTATATTATAGTACAACAACTACTAGGTGTATATATAGATATGTGTATATATATACATATATATTTAAATATATATATATACATATACATACATATATACATATATATACATATACATACATATATATATATACATATACATATATATATATATAACGTTATATATGTATCTGTATATGGGATAGGTACGGGTATGGTGGTTTCAGCATATTTAATCATTTTTTGACATGTCCCATTTCTATGTTTTCGGTGACTGACCTGCCGGATGATCCTGAAGGACCAAGAAAACTTCGTGTCGAAAGTGTTGCCCATCCCAGCAGTTCATGACATATAGTTTATATGAGCCATGCTATGCCATGGAAAAAACAACAACAACAACAACAACATGGGTTGTGTTCCCAATTCCTGGGGGATCGGAATCTTCGGAAAATTCAACCCATGTTCAGTTCGGGATTTAGATTGTACTACGTGTAGTGATTTTCCCATGGCATGGGGTGATCATAAACCATAGAAAACCAGGCCCATCCTGACCACGGCCTGAACTGTAGCCGCCATGACTTCAAGACCAAGGAATCCTCGAAGGGATCCCAGAAATCCCAGCTCTGTGTATCTGTAGCCGATTGGTGCTTCGCGCATGGGGTTCTTAAGTCATGGGGGATCCCCAAGTCACCATGATTGGTTTCATATGCTTTACCCTCTGGTAAACGTTTACATAATTAACTATGGTTAAAATCACCATGCTATGAATGGGAAAACTCACTATTTCGACTGGGCCATCTTCAATAGCTATGTTGAAATAACCAGAGGGTAATACTATTACTAAGTCATGGTCATCCATGACTTTGAGGATAAATGGGGGACCCAATAAATGACTTCGGATCCCGTTTCCAGGCGGCATTTCGTGGGAACCAAGCGCGATCCAATGTGGACACTATGAAGATGACCAAGGTGACCGTGTGGCATGGCTGGGAACCCGTCGAAGTGGGTTAGATGCCGCAAAGTGGGCTACTTTACCAACTACTGAAGGTGGCGCAAAGTTGCGGTTCCTGGGAATATATATATATATATAAATGTTATATTATTATATAATATTATATATGTGTATGTATATATATGTGTATATATATACTATGTAATTATAATATATATATATATATATATATATATTATGTATATCTTCTATATGACCTACTAAAGCCTGTTTCAAGCCTGTGTCAAGCCTGTTTCAAGCCTGATTGAATCCCTTGATGTTTGTTATTTTTAAACGCCATGAAAACACAAAAGTCCTGTTGGCGCATCGACCTGAAATAGCTGTTGAAACAGCTGTTGAAAGTCACCTGCAGGTCTTGATCCTAAAGTGGTAAAGCTGGACAAGAAAAAGATATCGGCAAAATATCATGGATAGCTTATCTGGTTGGTGGTTCCGCCGCGCGCAAAGGAAAGGTGGAGAAAGGTGGTGGTTTGGAACATGAATTTTATTTTCCAGAATATATGGGATGTCATCCTTCCCATTGACTAATATTCTTCAAGATGGTTATTGCACCACCAACCAGTTATAATAGTTTATGACATCCTCGAAAATCCTGGAAACATATGTTTAATCTATACAAGCCACATCCATTTTCACTCCCGGATTTTTTCTTCAAAAATTCTCGGCACTTTTTCGGTGGTAGGCGGGGCATCCTCCACCGCCCAAAGGCGCCTGGGTGGTGAAGTTCATGCAATAAATCGCATCTCCCGATGCGAAGACACACCACAAGCAACATCGGATTTCACATGGGGATTTCACATTGGGATTTCACATTGGGATTTCACCAGGATTTCACCACCAAATCAGTGAAGATATGGATTTAATATTATTCAATGTGATTCAAACGAGAAAAAAAACGATTTGACAAGACATGGAGATTGTTGTTTTTATGATAGGTAATCCATGGTAATCCTATCCCTCTATACCACTAGACAACCCCAATTTGTAGCACGCAAAAATGAACAAATCACCACATTGCACCAGGGTTTCAGAAATTGGGGGTTTATGTCCCCTGAAAAGTCCCGATAGTAGTTCATGAGGTCGGCCATGGATTGGTGGGAAGCAGGGAAACATATGTTATTTGAAGTTCTGTTGAGCATTTATTTGACATACATAATGCAAAATGCTGATCGTAATACTCACCAATATATGGTTTATAGATTTGGATAGATATAGTCATGTATAATCGCCGAACTACTCATCAATGGATTGGTTAAGGGAAAATCTTAACCGGAAACCATCGATTTTCCATGATTTTCTATGGAGCTTTCCTGTAAATTTCCCCTAAACCCATCCATTGAATCATTTGTAATACTCAGATTTGGATAGATTTGGATAGTATAGTCATGTATACTCTCCGAACTACTCATCAATCAACCATCATTTTATCAATTTTCACGAGCTCCTGGGATTTTGGGATTTTCATCTCCAATATTCATCAATATTTCCAAAAAAAAACATAAAACCCAGGAGCTCGTGAAATCTCATAGATCATTTAAAACTGATTGGTGGTTTGGAACTTGATTTTTATGACTTTCCATTCAGTTGGGAATTTCATCATCCCAACTGACTTTCACTCATATTTTTCAGAGGGATAGGTATACCACCAACCAGTATATATATATATTTATGTAATGGAATATGAATGGAAAATATACAATGGAACATATAATGGAATATAATGAAATTTGATATATTCCATTATATATTCCATATTCCATATTCCATTATATATTCCATTATATATTCCATTATATATTCCATTATATATTCCATTATATATTCCATTATATATTCCATTATATATTCCATTATATATTCCATTATATATTCCATTATATATTCCATTATATATTCCATTATATATTCCATCATATATTCCATTATATATTCCATTATATATTCCATTATATCCCATTATATATCCCATTATACTTAAGTATATTCCATTCATATCCCATACAAAATGTATACAATGGATCATTTCTGATGTTTCCCCCATATTTCAAGAGTTAATCCCCTCGGTTTTTCGACAGGTGTGGCGGCGGTGAAATCTAAAGCCAAGACAGCGGCGGCAGAGAGTGGAACGGCTGCAGCTTGGTGGCATGGGTCAAAAAAAACAGAAAAAACAGACCTGGGGGACCACAGGCTTTAGTATATGGCTATGGATCAATACCTATAAATACCATTTTTAGTGGGATGAACATCCATTTACCAGCTATTTTGATGTTCACCAGGGGTACAAGGTTTTGACCCATCCCCATATGTTGAATATATATATATATACACATATATATATGAATATTAACCATCCAATTGTTGGATATTGTTGGGGTATGTTGAATGTATATCTTAATTTTAACCATCCATTTTATTTTAGGTACTTAGTTTTGACTACCCATGTCAAAACCTGTTACCATACTGGGGAAAAATTATGGAATGAATCTCCATAATCTTCATTAATTATTCAGCTATCACTTTGGGTATCTTAGGGTACCCAATGTGGCAGGGTCTTGACTCATAGCCGTTTGGGAACCCTGGTGTCTGGATGTTTCTGGGTAACTATCACTGGAATGGGAATAGGGGAAAACTATCCTAAAGTTCGGCCGAACTTTCAGGTTTATGAACGTTTTTGAAATTCATATGCCCAGCCAGATGTATTGGAGAGCTTCAAACCCCCCTTTAAGGGACCACAGTGCCAAGTTCAGCTGGATTTAGAGAGTGCCATTTTCGCTAAGGAGATTCCATCCCGATTTGCGCTGAGGAAACCGATGGCCAGTTCCTACCTGGCTGGTGGTTTGGAACATGAATTTTATTTTTCCATTCAGTTGGGAATGTCATCATCCCAACTGACGAACTCACTCCATCATTTTTCAGAGGGGTAGGGCTCAAAACCACCAACCAGCCAATAATATCCCATTAATATTCCATATATATCCCATTAATATGCCATATATATTCCAATAAAATCCCAATAATATCCCATTTATATGCCAAATGCCAGCCTAGTTTCTTGGATGCCCCCAACCTCCAAACACCAATCGTCTCGCTTCCAGGGCCTGACCCAAGCGCAGATGGTGGCTTTGAGGGAGAAATTTGATCTCGACGGAGATCAAACTTTGGGCCTCGAACCTTGGCCGGATTGGACTTTGGGGGAAAAAAATTGGGACTGGCCATGGCGCAACTGAGATTTCGGACCACCATTTTTTGTGTAGAAAGATGCAGAAACATAAGATCCGATGCTGAAGAAGAGGGAAATGGCTTTTCTTTATCTTAGAGATTTGTCACAAACAAATACAAACAATATTATTCGGGAGGAGGATGGTGGGTTCAAACATTGCAAGCAAGAATTGTGGTATAATCAACAAGAGTGAACATATATAAAGATGACTCTCGGATGTCAAAATACCAACCAGATGACTTGCAACATCTTATAGCCTGCTGTGTCGCAGCTACAACCAGGGGAACCCCTTAAGGGGTCAACCTTGGTGAGGGGTTAGCAGAGCGCCAAAGTTGGTCAGGTTTTCAAGGTAGCTTGAACCACTTCAGGTCAGGTGGTTGAAGGCTAGGGGACTTCACCTTGAGTTGCTGTTGTATTCAAATTTCAAGATGAAGGGATGGATTAACAGTTCGAAGTGATATTTTTTCCCTTTGCGGCATGCTGTAGTGTTTCACTGTTGATGACGTGTGTTTCCATGTTCCGAGCATCATCCGCATCATCCACACATGTGTCAAAAAAGAGAGGGATATACTTTTTTTACCAGTGGTTTTCCGCATGAAAAAGATGAGATACCATCTGGTTATTTAACATAGCCATGGAAAATCACAATTTTAAATAGGTAAACCATCTATAAATGGGCCATTCAACCAGAGGGTACACCTAAAATTGGGTGTTTCAATGCAGGTTTTTTTTTATGAATTTCCCAGGGACTTGTGACCAGTTTCTGTGGGATCCCCCCAGGGACCCACTCCCGTTTGTCGACCCATCCGTCAACCAATCTGTCGACCATTTCGATATCAAGTTGCCTAATATGATGATGAGCTCATTGGAGGATGTCTTGCCCTATGTTGAGCCTGCTTTGGGTTGGTGACATAGATTGACATATCACAGTTTAGCCAGGCTACCACAACCCCACTTTTCTCTTAAACGTGAGCCAAACAAGATCAAAAAAGCATGCGATAGCATGTGCGATCTTGTGAGAAATGGATGGTTGATCCACTTTCCCTCTTGTCGTCAATCATGGTTTGCTAGAAAATCCCCCATTTAGTTCGATTATTATCCCATTAGAACATATATTTAGTCTATTTATATAATAGATCTATTTATGTAGGATTTCCCAGCCACGTTTGACGAAACCGGTATAAGTTATATAAGCTTTACTTTTTGGCAGAAAATATGGGCGACTTGCCCCGAGTCGCCCTGGCCGTTGCCGCCAGCGAGGCGGAGTTCAAGGGCTTGGCGCGACAAGTGGCACAGCTGCAGGGCCATGCGGCACCCAGCTATGCCATCTTGGAAGAGACTCGGTGCAAGGCATGGCCGCTGGAGTGGTACGAAAAAAGATGAAAAGTTTCAAGGGAATCAGCTTATTTGGGATGGAGTTGATGTACATAGGGCTGTAAATGATTGGACCAGAATCTATTTGATGGGTAAGGGGTAGAAAGAATGAGACTGTAAGGGATTTCATAGATTATATAGCCTATGAATTGGTTAGCCTATGAATTGGTTCATTGGGGGGATACCCCTGCAGGCATGGCCATTAGGGAATGAATGGGCCACATGAATTTGTGAACCGTGGAGATTGAACGGCGTCACTGAAAGCACACCCAAATTATATATATATATGTAATTATAATATATATAACTATAATATATATAATTACATATATATAAACAGACATTCTATGTATAACTGTATATCTCTATATAATTTACGTCTTGGTTCACCCCACTTACTAAGTGAGTGGGTTGGTTTCCCCCAGATATATAGGTAGGGTAAGTATAGGCTTATTTTTTGTACATTGACAAAACTTGGGTTATCACCCCACCTACTACCCTCTGGCAATTTGTTACATAGCTATTGAAAATGGCCATAGAAATAGTGGATTTACACATTGAGAATGGTGATTTTCCATAGTTACGTGGCAGTTTACCAGAGGGTAACTTGGGTGAGCCCAGTACGAAGCCCCAGCCACCACAAAAACAGAAAAGTTCGATATCTGAATCCTAAGTTTGAGGTGGGTTGCGTGGAGGGAGCGCCCCATGGGTTGCCAAAGGATAAAACAACCACTCTGTCACTGTTTGTTTGCAACTTCCAATTTGGCAGACAAGATTGGCAGCGGAACCAGATACATCAAAAACAACTGGACTCGACTTGGATGCCTGAAGAGGGATGTTTGGGCATAATCCAATTGGGCATTGAGTGGTCCGAGTTAAGACTCTGGTTTGGAGAGGAAACACTACTGGCTGAGGATCAGAAGATTCAGAAGTAAGGGGGTAGGATTCTGGTCATATTAAATGATGAAACATATCATGTTGACCCATACGTAAACCTTGAAGATGTCCTTGCAAGTGCCCTTTCTGCTGGCCATGGCCTTCGATGCCGGGTTTCTCTGGTTCTGTGGATGGACAATCCAGCTGCGCAGAATTCTCTCCCGCAAACATATAGTAGGCAGTTTGAGGTAAAATCTTGACTTTGCAGTTCTTGCATCCTGCGGAATGGCATTTGTCAGCCCAGCAGGGAGGGTTTTCCCTGGTGATTACAGCTTGGAATCTTGGAATAAACCTAAGTTGATACCATGTGGCGAGTTACCACTTGCACATGGCTTTGTTGATATTATTTGAGTTTGGCGAAGGTCGTTTGCAGCAACATGGGTGCCCCAATCATCACTTTCAAGCTATTGTATTGGTGCTGTCCCTGTCGTTATTGGTATATTGGTGCTATCCCCATTTTGATTGGTTACAACAGCCTAAAACTGCCCACCTAAAACTGCCCGAAACCCGGCAATCCACCACCCGGTCATCTGGGATCTCCTCAGATCCCTCAATGCCTGAGGATATCTTCGACGAATTCGACAAAGACTTTACTGGCAAGTGGCCGGCCGGAAAGGGGGATGGACATTTGGATCAACAGGATATCCACTGATGAATCATCATGTTTGCTATCCTATGTCCATGGATATCCTATTATAATCTATTATGATCTATTATATGATTCCATTTGCAGGGGTTGAACCCTCCATGTTCACACACAGACACCCAAAATGGACTGCTTCTTTTTCACACCCAATATGTGAGAGACTGCCAGGGCAACCTTCTTCATTACATGGAGGTTTCCTAAAGTGGGGGTACCCCCAAATCATCCATTTTCGACTCGGATTTTCCATTATAAACCATCCAGCTATTGGGGTACCTCCATTTTAGGAAACCTCGGCATCCTTGCCAAGGATGGGTAGTGAGGAGTTCAACTGGGCCTATGCCACACTTCAGCTGAAAGTGAAGGCCATGGTTCTGGGTGGTTGAGTGTATATCCTAACCCCAAAAGCATAGAACAGTAAAAATCTACTTAAACAGTGATAGATTCCGTTCTATCTTTGTGATGATGACTTGTTTACCCTTATGTTTATCAACCAATAAGTATGTATAGCATAGAGACAAGATGCAAACACCGACTGGGATTCATCTTGATGGCTTTGTGCTTTCGTGGCAAATCAAACAAACCCCTGATGTGCAGGAAGAGGCCGCCAAAGAGGCGAAAACCCGGGTGACAGCAGGTTGTGGATGATGGATATGTTCTCAAATGTTGTCACAATGTGTGTATTCACGTAAATATGTATATGATATAGTGATATATATATATATTTACATATATTTACAGTACTATATATAGAGTAATATATATATATATATATATAGTAATATGTGTATATATATATATACACATGTATAGTAATATATATATATATATAATGATACATGTTTATGATAGAAGCACAAGTTGAGTGATCTTGTGCATTTCCACCTTAGAGCCCAGCAAGTTTTAGAAATGTGATCCCGGCAGCCATGGCGGGTTTGACCATGTTTTACCATGACAACGTTAGGGATCTAAGCAGGAAAATGGGGGGAATTTAACCAGGAAAATGGTGGGTATAACTATGTAGAACTACTATAGCTGCTTGGTAGTTTGACACCTGCTGTTATTTTCAGCCCTAGAAATGAGATGAGAAGACTGATCAAAGTATTTATCAGGAGGGTTGAAACCACCAACTAGAAGATTCATGACTCCCTCAAAAAGACAAATGCTTGAAAGTTGAGAATCATCCCCACCCACTTGGACTAGAAACTAATCCTGGATCGGTTTTTGCTATGGAAAATCACCCGCCAACCAGCAAAATATTATATTTTATGTGGATTACCAGTCACATTGACCATGCAATGGTGGAAGGTATCGGCAGGTTGACGTTTTCATGGCTCGCTTGGGCCATTTTTTCGCTGCCTGGCCTGTCCCAACAACCTGGCAGGCATCAAGATTGATGAAGGTTAGTAGCGGCCCCAGATGGGGCAGTTGCTTGAAATTGGCCAAGTTAGGGTAATGTGATATGTGATAAACCCAAGAATAATCAAGAATACCTGATATATCCATTGTGTTTGACATGAGCCTTGCAGAAGAAAGAATCTTGAAATTTGCGAAATAGAGAATGTGGTTATATGTGATTCTTTTGCATTACTCAAGCGTAGATCGATATATGCCGCGGGGCATTCGCGCATGTGACACAAGGTGACTCTGTGAAAGGCAGCAGTGACAGAGGATTCACTATCCCCTGACGTTGGTTTAGGGGATATCATGCTGCCTACTGAACCTTTGGGTTCAGCGCCTGGCATGTCCTCCAGCAATCATAGATGATGTCAGCAATAAACCCGAATTTTCAAGGCATTTCCCATGAGGTTAGAACATGTTCCTAGCATTTTTAGATCAGTTTCCCCATGTGTTCCTAGCATTTCGCAGCAAAACCTCCATGTTTCAATCTGCCCAGGTTTGAATCGATCAGGGCAGAAATTGGGTCCGGGTCCCAGGTTTCCCAGGGCCGCGCCCAAGTATCAAGGTATGAGTGGATCTGAAGCCTGTATATCCACTGTATATCCCGGAAAAACAAAAAAACATATAATGATTTCCACTTGCCATTTTATATAGGAATCTATAGGAACAGATTTTAAACATCCGGAGAGTACCCTATGTTCAGACAACCCATACACACACATATACATACACATACACATATACATCCCAGCGGACCGGAAACCGTGCTCGTAAAAGGACGTTTTGTGTTTTTCTTGCACTATGAGTATGGCACTGTGGCGAAACACGAATTTCTTGTGTGAAACACGTCCAAAAAATGGACTCCAAAATTCGGGTGTTTTCGCGTTTTACCACAGTAACAGCTCATTTTCATCGGAGCGTTTTTGTGGAGTCTGAAAAGAAACCATTTCCTCTAACACACACACACACAATAGTCTTAAATATACAGACCGAAACAGTGCTCTTAGCCACTAAAGTAGTTGGAAGGTTTTACAAAAGTTAGTAACCTATCATCAAGAACGTAGTCGCAAGTTGTCAAGAGTCCCTAACGTAGTTGGAAGTTGATAAAGTCCCATGCAAGTTTTTAGAGTAGTTGGCAACGTAGTTGGAAGTTGTTGTAGCAAGGACGTTAATAGCCCACGCTACCCACCCCACCCCACCCCATGCAAGTTGTTGGAGAAGTTAGTAACGCAGTTGGAAGTTGTTAGTACCAAAGACGTTAATAGCCCACCCCAGTTGTTGGAGAAGTTAGTACAGTAACGTAGTTACAAGTTGTTAAAAGCGTTAGTTTTACGAGCTCGGTTTTCGGTCCGCAGGCGTATACATATGCATTATATGCATATACCTATACCTAATACCTATACCTACACCTATACATATACATATGAGATACGGTCAAAATAAGCGTAGATTACTTTAGTAAGGGAGGGTCCAATCGTGTTGAGAAAATGCACCAAACCATGTAAAGCGATAGGGCCCCTCCCAAAAAGCGATAACCTGTAACCATCTGTGGGCAAAATTGATGAAAATTCAACCTGCAGTGCCCGCGTTTCTTGCAGTTGCCATTTCATTTGCTGTCCAAGGTGATTGAGCCATTGCTTTCTGCAGGCAGATTGCTTTTTCTTCCCAGGTCCCAAAGCAGTAGAATTAAACCAAATTGAACGCAACCAAATTCTGAATTAAGCAAACAATAGATTGAAATCTAATTCTGAATGCCCTTTGTGTGTTTAGATTTAATTCGAATTGCGTCTTCCTTTGTTTCCTTTTCTTTTTCTTTTTTTCTTGTTCCTTCTTTCAGTTAAAACTAAACGCAATTGAATTCTGAACCAAATCAACTCTGATTACGAATTTTGTTCTGAATTCCATCTATTCCATGTTTGATTTGTCGTTTCTTCTTCCTTTGTTTCCTTTTCTTGTTCCTTCCTTTCCTTCTGTTTTTTCAGTTGTCCTTTTTGTTCTACGTTCCTCTTTCCTTTCCTTTCTTGATCGTCAAAGTGTTCCAATTTAGCGATAACCTTAGCGATAACCTAGCGATAACCTTATGTTGAAAAAGGGACCCCGGAGGAGGGATAGACTCATTTGATCCCAAGAAGAAGAAGGGCTCAACAAAAAAGTGAGCAGGTTCTCGACACCAGGCCACCACGTTGTATTCAGACTTGGGGAGCCTAATGCACTTCTTCATAGCTACGAATGCTTCTTTTTTGGAACCATTGGTCTATATCAAATACAGTCTTTCTAGTTCGGAGATGAGATCGTGACAGATTTCCTTGCTTAGGAAAGAGTCTAGGAATGTGCTTAGATAGCTCCCCAACATGGTTGCAAACGCAAAGACAACGAAAGGCCCTTAATCCATCCCCGGCAGTTTAGATCTGAATCCGTGAAGCTAATTCCCTTGCATGTTTGCAGTATTTCGTGTTGATTTGAACATATTTGAACAAAACACTGGAAAGCGATAGGGCCCCCCCAAAGAGCGATAACTTATATTTTTGTACCAGGCATAAACAATTGATTTTGACGGCGGCTCATATACATATATACATGCAGCCAACAAGCATACGCCTAGAAACAAGGCCCTAAGAACAACAGATAGCATGTGTTGTTGATTCTTGTCCACATGTAGCAATCCAGTACCCAAGTTTGATGTCCTTGCTGTGTCCTAAAGTGTTTTTTGTCATGGGGTTTGTGTCATTGTACCTATACATTTAGTCGGGGAACCATGTACATCTATTTATATACATCCATTTATATACATCCACCTTCATCCATTTACATCCCATTTATATCCAGATATATCCAGATAATCCCAGCTATTTTGGTGCGAAAACCCGAGCATGGACAATGTTCAATCAAGGGACCTATTCGAACTGTTCATCTCTGAGGCCTAACAGTGGACAGCAAGACCTTGGAAATTAAGGACATTATCAGCAAGTCCGTTGTTGCCGAGTTGGCACCTAAGGGCCGGGCACATCGGCGGTCATCGGCGCGCGGCAGCAAACTTCGCCATGAGATTTTTCAAAGTAGATGTATTTGGTAGATGTTGATGATGTATGATGATGTTACGTTCTTGTCTTTGTATTAATAGACTAGAATAAAGTGGATGTATTTGGTAGATGTTGATGATGTATGATGATGTTACGTTCTTGTCTTTGTATTAATAGAATAAAGTGGATGTATTTGGTAGATGTTGATGATGTATGATGATGTTACGTTCTTGTCTTTGTATTAATAGATATATATATATATATATTTATAGTTATATTTATAGTTTGTGATGTGACCATGGCATACTATGGCATGATTTTGTTCTCGACCCACAATGGAAGAGGAATATCAGGCTTTGGATGGCAGGAAATACCCCCAAAATGGCTCGAACTTTTTAGATTGGCAAATTCTTATGACTCATTCAGAACATTGCAAAAACCATGGCAAATTCAAGAGGTATTCATTGGCCCAGTTACTCAACGTGTCGAGAAGGACCAGCCAGTCTGAGGTGGAACTTGGCCAATCCTACCAAACCTTTGCAAGTGGGGCATCGCATCAAGAAGGCTGGCCCGGGGGGGGCCATGGCCGCCATGGGGATTCTCGAAGATGTTTGAACCCCGAGGCCCCAAAGACCATCCAAAACCTATCTTAATCACCTCTCTCAGGATGTCCGTCTCCCCAATTTTTAACAAGATTATAAAATAAATGACAAGCATAGGATGTCCAAGGTATATAACAAACATAAAGTGTTCCCTTTTTTCCCTAAGGTGCGCTGCGAGCAAAATAGGGCCCTTGACTCCTTGACACCAATGGAAATGGCCCAAGAAGGAGAACAAGTGATAAGCTATGTCTATGTCCATTGATATCCACGCGTTTAGACCCAACATCACTAAACGCAGTATCACAGTTCATTGATTCAAAAGCAGTATCACTGAATCAATGGAGAACGACAAGTAATTTGGCAATTAACATCAAGGGACAGTTTGGTCCTTTAGTTGTTTAGCATTTAGATCGGGATGTGTTTATATAATATAATTGACCTTATTAACCAAAGTTAACCAAAGACATTTTTTCTTGCAGTGTAGAACAGATTGACCATAGAATCCAGCCCCAAACAGATGCACCCTTCCTGGAGCATCTTATTCCTAGAAATTTCTAGCATTTCTTGCTTTCGAGTAAAGATCAGAATTTCAGAAGTTGCAACGAATTTCTCAGTGACCTTGCATTTGTCATACGTTTTGCAGTCAATGATGTGTTCAGACTTTTCGGGACTTGCGGGAGTTTGACACTTTTTTTGCGGGAGTTTTGCCGGTAATTCTTGATGTTTTTGAAGGTCAAAAACTGAAAATTCAACTGTAATGCAGAAACCTTATAGCCTGCGACATCCACAACTCATTGGCTTTGGGTGAATTTCAAGGAAATTGAGTCAAAATAAGGATTTGATCAAATTCGTTTTGCGCAAAAAAAGTGGTCACTTCCTAGAATTCCGTTAAATTCCTAGGATTTGGAAGGTCCAGGTTTGGTTATTCAACAGTTTGCTATGGAAAATCACAATGTTTAATTGGTAAATCATCTATAAATGGGTCTCTCTGCCATAGCTACAAGACAAGGCCCCCAAACGATAGCTAAGTTGACGCACATAACTAGGTGAATTCTATGGTTTATGGTAGATGTAACTAACTAGCATTCATAGGGGTTTATTCACGGGTAATTTCAAGACCCTAAAGTGGAGGTACTGTACCATATAAGGCCATAGTTTGTGGGGATATTACCTGAAATTTCGGCCTGGCATGGCCTGGGAGGTACCATCAATAAATCGGTCCCTGAAATGGCCGATGGCTCTAGAGGCTCCGGCTTCGCAGGTGAACGGAAAGCCTGGCATTCAGGGCTACAACGAGGAGCTGCTGAACAAGTCGGTTGAGGCGCTCCTGGAGACGCACAAATATCAGACTTGGATGGGAAGATGTACAGCTTTTACATGGGTTTTTACCATCTGGTTATTCAACATAGCCATGGAAAATCATATTTTTTAATAGGTAAACCATCTATAAATGGGCCATTTCCCATGGCTATGTTAGTCACAACCAGATGGTACCTCCGTTAAAGCGAAAATCATGCTGTCCTGCAGTTTTTCCCTTAAATCCATTGAATTTGTGCAACCCATCCGAAAAACTGAGGTGATTGCAATGGAGGGATGTATTTCATATTATTTACTACTGGGTCACTCTGTTTTTTTAATATAGTGGAAAGGTAGTTGCCTTTTCTTTTGGTCTGCGACCCTTTTTCTAGAAAGTGTAAACCCTACTGTTGTTTACATCACTGTGTTCACGGCACCAAAGCATAAACCTGCTGTTTTTTTCCTGCAACAATCAGAGAGTGACAAGAAAAAGGCACCATTAAAGATAGTTAAATCATTATTTTGATGTTTATATAAATCACCATTCATCCTGGTTCAACCATATTAAATCATCATGTTTGATGGTTAAATCGATTTCTTCGCCGCTCAAAATTCAGCATGAGGTGCTGAACCTTGAAGTCGTGGCTGGAGAGAAGTTTCAAAAGGCGGCTCCGACATGAACAAAAACTGGCGATGGGATAGGTACTGTCATTGCGGTTTTAGTCATCATAATAGATGGTATATCTACTACATGTATGGTATAGCTATCATAGTTTTTGATAATTTTGGTTTTAGCAACATATGGGAATACAGTTGATAGTTGTGTACATAATTGATGGTTGGTTCACGTGTTTTTTTTTCAAGTTTTGTATGATCCTTGATATATTCGGGAGTATCATCATCCATGAGCTGGGAATCGTGCTCTCAACCAACCAGTATTTCATGCAAATGACTACAGATTTTGAACACTGCTTATGTATTATATATAAGAGCTTAGAATTCCAATGAATTCCAGGGTTTGTCTGATACGGTATCCCCCAAAATCCAATGGCTATCATTTGTTCCCCATTGCCATTTTGGGTATATCATGGTATATCCCATTGGCAAAGTCAAGTTTCCTGGTGATGTGCTTCCTGGGATCATCGGGACAAGTCCCGGGACCGTTTCTGGCATTACAACAACACGGGTAGGCCGTGGTCGGGTAGGACTTTGATTTGTTCCATGCTCACGGGGCAACATGTTGAACATTTTATACAGACATTCTGGTGCCCCCAGTGATGTTTCTTGGTTTATGAACCCCATTGACTATACTTAAGTTATACCATAAATACCATAAACCATAGAATTCACCTATATAGTTAAACGATGTTAAACGTGCGTCTTCTTGTTGCTATTGCGTTCAACGGGGTGCCATATTCACCTTGTAGCTATTTTTGTTTGCCATCCCAGGTTAGACCCGGAAGCAGCAAACGATGATACCCTCTGATAATCAAAGATGGCGAAAATCATGGATTCACTCATTGATGCAGGAGTTTCACAGCTATAAGCAATTATAAGCCTCCATTCAGTGCGTGATTTTTCCCATGTTTTTCCATTGAATTCGTCGATGCTTCCAGGTGCCCAGGTTTTACTTTGTGAGTCGGCTGCTTAAGGGGATTTCTTTCAGGGTGTGATGGGGTCTGAAAATGATGTATACCCCAAAATGTGTAATATTATAGTGCAAGTCATGATAAACCAATGAGCTATAGGGCTACCCTATTTTCAGACAACCTCGTATTGATCGCCAACCCCAAGAATGTTGGGATAGAATCCTACCAATGAAACGAACAAGCTCTATAAACAGGGAACGTGACGAAGGGCTTTGGGTGAATCACCGTTTCGGTATGTCTTGCCTTCGGGAATCAATCTGAATTTCAGGTACATGGCGTCAGGTAGACATATTTATCATATTTCTATATGTCTATGTCAGTTCAACCTTGGTGAATGCTGAACGCCTGGTGAATGGCTTATCTATGCCCATCTTGGTTAACCCTGGCTGCCATAGTCACCATAGTCACCATCAACCAACCATGGGGGGTCATAAAAGACATCCCATTTCTAGCTTTTCATACCCCATTTCATAAACCACAAACTTGGGGATGGTCCACATGAAATTGGGACCACATGATGAATAAAAATGCACCATGTGTCTTTTTCGGCAAATATCATCAGATATCAATGTTGTTCTTTTCGGGAGTGGTCACGAAGACCGAACGGTTGTTCGCTCGCGTTCAGCCACCATGAAATCATCACACGAAAGAGCTGAGAACTCGGCAAGTTCGTGCAGCAGGCATTCGTGTTGGTATCTTTGTCATAGTATGCGTTTATTTCCACCATTTTGTTGTTTTGATTGTCCAGTATTGTCAATTGTTTGCAAAATAGAGGCGTGTTTGCTGTTTACCATGTTTGTTGGCTAATTATGTCCCCATTCCATGGATTTTGATTATCAGACCCGTAAAAGTCCATGATTTGTTGTTTCTGATTTCCACTTGGGCTTGCTGTTTCAATGTTTGATGGTCGAAATCCACCATTTGGATCCATTTGGGGCATTTGTAGTGGATGTTCATTGATATTGGAGGTGTCTGCAGGCATTCCTCCCACCGAGTTGGTTTGGTATGGAACATACCAGCAGGAAACTCCAGGCTTGTATGGTAAATCCCTGATTTCCTGTTGATTTTCCCGTACACATCCTAACACCAGTATAGGCACATCGTTGGGGCAAGTGTGCAGAACGCCCTTTGGAAATGTCAACCAGAATTCGATGGGGAATCCATAATCTACAGTGAAATCCAGTGAATACTGTTTATGTGTTCAGAAGATAAATAAATATATACATATATCTGGGTAAATTATAACGACCTCACTGCGACCTCACTGGAATCATGGTTAGTAAGATTAGTAAGAGGAATCATCCCAAAACTTCTTTATTTCAGGTTAGTGAATTATTATAATTTGCCCATATATATATATATATATATATATCGGTATTTACTGGAGTGAAATATATATAATAATATATATATAATATTATATATATAATATGTAATATAATATATATATATATATAATACATATATATATAATATATATATATAATACATATATATATATATAATACATATATATATAATATATATATAATACATATATATATAATACATATATATATAATACATATATAATATAATATATATAATTATCAACTGGTTCTAGTGAAATCTACAGGCATTTCGTGATGCGTTTTTTTGGTTTCACCAGCGGCCACAACGGCACCGCCTTTTTTTGGCCGTCCTGCTGTCACCGTAGTCCGACGGCCGAGGACTTGATCGTTCGGCTGGTGGCAAACTTGGTGCGGCGCCCTGGAGCCGTCACAACCGAAAGTCCTTGGAGGTCACTTACTGACCTGCAAAAAAAAATCGTCATGGCTATTATGGTATAGTTATGGTAGTAATACAATGGTGGTTATGGCAATAATAATGGTTATTATATGTTATTATATGCTATTATATGATCTACATAGGGTGATGATATGGTTGTTAATGGTTAAATAATGGTTAAGAATGGTTAATAATGGTTAATAATGGTTAATAATGGTTAACAATGGTTAATAATGGTTAATAATGGTTAATAATGGTTAATAATGGTTAATAATGGTTAATGTCAACCCAGGATTAATAAACCATGGTTTATGAAAATCAGGGGGGTATTCCCCCAATAGTCATGATTTGATACTCAAATAGTACCTTCCCAATTAAACAGCCTAGGGGTTTATTAATCCAGGGTTGACATTAATAATGAATAGTAATCGTCAATAATGGTTCATTATTGTTACAGTAATACATGATATTCAATGGTCACAGTTATAATAGCTGGTTGGTGGTTTTGGAACCATGGAATTTTATGACTTTCCATTCGGTTGGGAATGGCATCATCCCAACTGACAAACTCCATCATTTTTCAGAGGGGTAGGTATACCACAAACTTGTTATCATGGCTATAAATGGGATGATGTAATAATGGTTATTCCCATTAATGGGATGAATATCAATGATTTACCCTCCAGTAAATTAACACAGACCCTGCCAATTTGTCAAGGTTGGAAGATTAGTTTCCATTAAACATAGGTTATTTTCAGGGTCTATGTTAGTTTACCAGAGGGGACTTGAAACTGCCAGGTTTGGTTTCAACGGATTCTTTTTATGTTTTTGTTTGTTGTTGTTGTTGCTGTTGTTGTTGTTGTTGCTGTTGTTGTTGTTGTAGCTGTAGTAAGTGATCTTTTTTGATGATCTAAGGTGGTTGGAAGTGGGAGCGTCAGTTGGGAGCGTTTGGGGTATCCATTTCTCTATTTGGGAGCCAAAGAGCTGCGAATTGAGTTTCTCGAAAGCAGTCCAGTTTGTTGCTGGCCTCCTTTGGGTTTTTTCCACTAATGAGGGATTTACATAACCATTAACAAGACGTGTAAAGATGCGCAAACAAGAGTACCTTTGCAGGTGGGTTTGTCTCAAAATGAGCGATACTGCCAACAGGCAACATGGCAAATTCATCATGTGGTTTTATCATGTTTTACCTCTTATGCAAATCCAAGTCCAAGACCAGGCAAAAAACCAGGGCGAATGATTCGGCTGAGCCGCGACTTCAATTTCTGTCTAATCCATTGGATTCTGAGAGTTGAAACTACCAAGCAGTAGTTCAAGGGAACCATGACTGGTCGGTGGTGACTGGAACCATGGAATTTGATGACTTTCCATATATTGGGAATAGATTTACCCCAACTGACGAACTCCATCATCTTTCAGAGGGAGATGAAAATGATCCAGAGTCTGTTGGTGTCAATTCAGGAATCAATCGGGCTTTGTCGGAAAATGTTGGGAAAAGTATGCAAAAACCCATTCCATCGATTCCAACACCATTCAATGGATTGTTTTCGGGAAAAAAACAAAATCTACAGGACCCACCAGATTTTACGTGATTTTACGAGAAAAGCAAAGTTTCCGGTTAAGTGGTTCCCTTAAACCAATCCATTGAGTAGTCAGCATGTCTCCAGGTTTCGGTTTGGGCTGGGCCAGGAATACAAGTTGAACAACCCTCGCTGGAGCGCCTTGGTCGCCTTGGTGTAGGAGCCCAACACTGGGGTGTTGACCGACAAAAGATGGAGAACAGTGAACAGTGGGATAGATTTCGAATATCATTGGTATACCGTAATGAAAACCGTGTGTATATACATGTTTCAGGTAATATCACTTAATTAACATTCCCATTAAGAATATTATGGATATCTAATGAATGGGAATGTTAAGTGATATTAGATGAAATATGTATATATATATAACACTGTTGTGTGGCTGTAAACAACCCAAAATGACAATGTAACCCAAGGATCTACTGAAATGACAGCCATCTCACCGCCGGTTCTTTCCTCTTGGGGAAACCGTTGCTTTATTGTCTTAGATAAGTTGGGATGGTGATTTTTCTCAGCTGAAAAGATGCAAACATGTTGCCTTCAACGGCTTCAACGAAAAATCTCGGGTCTGGTGAATCGCAAAAGTTGAATGGAGGCATCAGCTGATTTCAGGACATTCGCACACGATCAGGAGACAAATGAATGTGTGTCCAGAATCCGTGCTCACTTTTCTTTCTAGTTCAAGAATTTTCAAGACGCATCAGAATTTTCAAGAAATTCTGTGGTCGCGTGAGCTTATTTCACTCTATCCCGTCGATGTGGCGAAAAGCTACCTACAGGATACTGTACCCACTGTAACACCATGTTGTAAAAAGCTACTGGGATGTGCAGGACCACACTTAAACAAACTCGTGACCCTGTCAAACGTTTAATGTTCATTTGTGTTCCACGACACGGAAGTCGAACACAGGTCTGGCAGATGTCCAGCCTTTTCTGGTTATTGCTGGTAGGCTGGTGATTTTTAAAAAGGTTATCTATCTTGGTAGTTATTATCCCTATGAGGGTACCTGACCAATCCTTACCATATTTCTCCTTTATCACCTGTTGGTTTTTCCCTCTTTTAGTTCTTGGACAGTTGTTGAAAACGGAGTGTTTCCGTGTTCAGGCAGGCGCTCTCCCAACCTGATCTCCGATTCCTCCAACTGACCAAGGATTCAAAACTTGGCACCGGGAGGCTTGGCATGCAAGTCAATGGCTCAGACCCTCAAGACCTGTACGTACACTATGCGGCTGCAAATGAAAACCCCTCGCATCGTTTGTAATAATCATACTAAGTACTCCAGTTATATATACATATATATATACATATGGCTTATGTCTGTATGGGGTATATGTGGATGATAAACCATTTACGATGCCTAGGATGCACGTGCAGCATCGTTAGTGCCGTTAGTGGCAGATGGCTTTGTGTGAAAATAGGATACCCATAAATCCACTAGTCAACTAGTCAACCGTGCAACATCATGGTTATTCATTTTTCCTACAGAACTGGCCATGTAAAATTAATTAATCATCAAGTTTGGGCGATACATGCAGTACCCCATTTTCTTGACAAACCGGATATATTATATCTTGACTTTGCATTGCTCTTCCAGCTGCCTTACCCGACAACTCTTCGCAAATTCTGGAGGAGTTGTTGAAAGGGAAACAGCAACAGCAACAACAACATCATCATCAACAACAACAATAACAATAACACCACAACAAGAATAACGACAACAACGACAACAACAACAACAACAGCAGCAACAGCAACAACAACAACAGCAACAGCAACAACAACAACAACAACAACAAAAACAACGGCCCCAGTCTTTGTTTGTGCCAACAACAACAACATCATCAACAACAACAACAATAACACCACACCAACAGCAACAGCAACATCAGCAGCAACAACAGCAGCAACAGCAGCGACAGCAGCAACAGCAAAACAGCAAAACAGCAAAACAACAAAACAGCAAAACAGCAAAACAGCATCAAACGCGTGTCTAAGAAACCAACCAGCCCTACACTAATGTGGTAAACCTAAAACCCTAAGTCTTCCAATATTATCCATTGGGGATGTTCATACCAGCCATTTCAGACAATTTTTTTTTTTTTTTTGGCATTGGGTTTTCCCTCATTGCTGGGAACATACAGCGGCAACATAACAAAAAAGTTACTGCAGGTGACTTGCGAAATCTCCTGTGGCCCCTATCTCCTTTGCCTGTTGCCGTTCAACCTGTCATGTGGAAGGGTAAATGTTTCTCTGTATTTCTCTGTGCATCTCTGCGCGATGTACATACTATCTCATACCTTCATAGTGGTGATAAAAGTTACCTACAAGACAGGCCAAGTTGAAGACAAATGAACCGTACAACATACAGCATCCTGAAATGATCTGCTACCCTCTGGTAAACTAACAGAACTATGGAAAATAGCCATAGAAATAGTTGATTTAATTACCTGTGAAACATGGTGATTTTCCATACTTATGTAAACGTTTACCGGAGGGTAAGTCCGGGTTTCAGAGATGTCTTGGTTTTCCTGGTGATTTTCCAGGCTGGGATGACTTGAATCACTCCCAGGTGGAACGAAGAACATCCAAAGGAGCGGATTCGACCTGGAGATTCCATCGTCAAGGTAGGCCACAGCTGGGGCAGCTGATGGCAGCGGCAGCCAGGGGCAGCTTGTGATGAATTTCCCGGAGATTCCACTGAGCAGTTTGATATCTGGAACTATTCATAAATCGAAGTTGTTTGTGGCATGCGGCTGATACGGCGCCCTTGGAAGGGTTGCCAATTTTGAGATGTGCCATTTACGATCCCTTGGAAGGGTTGCAAATTTCAAAAATGAGGCTTGCTGAAATGGGGGTATAGGATTTGATTTTTTTGAGTTTTTATCATGTTGCACATGCTGTGGTATGATCATCAGGGGGGGTGGGGGTGGGGGGTGGGAGGGGTGTATTAACGTTCTTGACGAGCACTTCCTTTACGTTACGGAAGATGCACACGTTGCGCATGCTGTCGTATGATCATCAGGGGGGGGTGGGGGTGGGGGGTGGGGGGGGTGTATTAACGTCCCTGACGAGCACTTCCTTTACGTTACGGAAGATGCAAACGTTGCACATGCTGTCAGTTGTGTCAAAGATTATCCCCACAAAAGGTTCAAGTTGGCCCAAGTCAACCACAAACAAAATATCTTTACTAAGACTAAGACTTATCATTTTCGAGGTCGTTTGTGGGATAGATCCTATAGAACCATTGTTGCTGGTACTCAACAAATGGATGGAACATGGAAACACTTGAAAAAATGGCGACCTCCGTCGATGCTCCACAAAAAAAAACGTGTACAAAAAAAGGTACACTTGGGCCTACAGCTGGACATGGCGTCACAACGCTGCCTTGTTGCAGACTGTGGCTTCTGCGTTGCCACAAGCGCTCTGGCACCGCTAGCGTCGAGAAGAGGAAAAAACTGGAAGAGTGAATGTCGCCCTGATATGATTCGGATGATTGAAAATCATAAATTTCTAATGTTTTTTTTAAACCCTTGAAGAGCAAAATCGAGTCACCGCGCAGGCGAAACGCAAATTTTCACTCTTGAGTCACACGCCTGCCAATCGAAATGAATGTCCATGTTGCAAACATTTTTTGACGACTCCTGCAAATACCAGCATTTTGTGTCTTAGCCTCAAAAATCAGAATTTCAAATTCGTCACCCTTACCAGGGCGCCGAGTCAATCGGTTGCCTTGTTTGTTGGGTTTCCATCCCTCCCTGCTTTTTGATGTATTTATTTATGTATAATATCATGGAACGTTATATATATATACACACACATATTATTATTTGATTGTGTAGATAGACGATATTCTCCTTGGCATGGGCCTGCTGACCCTTAGTTTCGGTTTCTGGAGAGAAATCAAAACTTAGATGACCTGGATCCATGATTGTTTATGATTGTTCTTGTTTTTTTATCGATAAAAAACAAAATCATATTATGTTTAAAAAACATTATAATAGGGGTATCATATGATCATATGGATTATGATTATGAAAAACATACTGTGGATAAAGAAACAAATTCGATGATTCGTGATGATCCATATTCTGTTTTTGAGTCCACCCCATTCCTATGAAACATATGGCGCCGTCGCGCCATCAGGTGAACGACAAGGATGGCATGGCTGGTTTCAAGGAAGAAATGATGAATCCCAACATTTCCGTGCGGGCTCCCAGGGACATGATGGCGATCAAACTGGTCGGACGTGTTTTGTACCAAAGCTGCCAGTTTTGGGATGGACTTCAATGGTTGCATCTAGATGTTGCAGGGCTTTCTTCGCAGTTTTTTGTTCTTCTCGAGTTTGTACACAGAAATTCTTTGGCAAAGAAATGGACCAACTGTCCTTGTCGCAGTTGTGACGATCCGGGGAGAAGATGGAAATCAGCCAATGGATCTATGGCACAATCCCCACTTTCAAAGGCCCCGGTAGGTGTCACATGATACTTGATATGTTAGGCATGTGTACATATATACACATACATACATCATACATCCGCATATGTATACACGTTTATATGCATAGTATATATATATATATGTATACACATATATATATATATGTATATATATATACGCACATCATAATATGTATATATACTTTCTATGTGCAACATGGTCCATAGTTTTTCATGATACACATGATATTTAAGACACAAAATGCACATAAATGCATATGATATATCATGTAAACAAACAGGACTAGATTTATTTGATATGTCATGATATATACTATATATACGCTATATATCATTATATATACTGTATATATATCACTAATATCATGTTATACCTCATATTATGTGCACATCATATGTCTTGTGTTTACATGATATCATGTGTTTAATACATATGATGCGGTGGATGAAAGAAATCCTGCACCAGTTGGTATATGGTTTATCCCCTTATAATCCCATTATTTACAATGTTTCATAGTTACCTAACGGATACCATCTGGTTATGACTAACATAGGCATGGAAAATCACCATGTTTAAGTTCGGTAAACCTCTATTTCTATGGGCCATCTATACCATGGCTATGTAACAAATAGCCAGAGGGTATATCCACTAACATCCCTGTTTTTTGTTGATTAAACCTCTATAATCACCATTAAATCCCATTAAACCACCATTAAACCACCATTAATCACCATTTCCCCATCATATCTCCATGATATACCCTTTTTTTTGCGCGCCAACGTATCATGCATCTGATGCCATCGATGATAGCCGCGAAACCGCCATCCAGGTCTTAAACATCCAGCTTGCGCCTCTGAGTCGGTATCACGAGGAGACGTGGGAAACGCGTCCGGAAACCGCCGGAAACGTGGTCGTTGTTGGTTTGTAAATGGTTGTTGCAATAGATTGGGTGCTTTTAGGTGTATAATACATGTATAGTACCCAGCTTTACTCAGCTAAAAAGATAATTTTGTGGGATAGTCTCCGATTAACAATCATGATAGGTGCACGGACAGTGGTCTGAAGGGGTATTGAGAGCACTAAACATCCTCGAGCTGGTTTTTAGCCACGGACTTAACTTTAAGTTTATTGAACTGTAAGTTTTTTTGTGTCTGAATAGGTTTACCACGTTTGCCTCTAAAAGCAAAGACTTTAGGGATCAACCCACCCAGCATGCCCCAAAAGGATCTTCCATTCATGGAAGGAATGTGGTTGTACCCATGCTGGATTGCCCCATTGAATCTGCGTCCAAGCATGATTTTCATAGTCTATTGATGGAGTTGATGCGGCCCATCCATGTTTTTCTGCTGGAAAGATGATGTTGGTGAAACATGGTGAAACTGCAGCCCGAAAAACATGACCCGCTTAGAATGTCCTACAGCTATCTCCAGAACTGCTCCACTGCTCCGCTTCCCGCTTCCTATGCCGACCTGGATCACAAACACAAATAGGCAGAAGAGGTGTACAGCCAAGGGAGGTCGAGAATGCTACGAGAGAAGATTGAGTGAGTCATTCAATCACTAATTGGTGCACTCTTCAACAGGCCTTGTTTTGCACCCCGGAATCAGAATGGCAATCTTGAACTTCCACTTCAATGTTTCTGCTAGCCTATGAACAGCCCCCTTTCAGATGTCATCCTGGAATCTAGAATATGTTTGGCTCTTGATGGTCATGTCATTTTTGTTTCCCTCATGAAACATATCCTGGTTGATCTGGTTCTGGTTGGTAGTAATGCTAGTAAAGCAATAACATACACCACCCATATGTTGATGGTTTATACTAGTTTATACCACCCATAAACATGGTAAATCTGGCCATGGTTTACCTTTACTAATCTTTACCCTTTGGTAAACTGACATGGCTATGGAAAATCACAATCTATACTATAATAGGTAAATCAACAAACTAAATGAGCATGTTCTATAGCTATGTTAGTTTACCAGATGGTAGTCATGTGAGTAAAGCAATAGTAAACCACCCATATTTTGATGGTTTATACCACCCATAAACATGGTAAGTTTGTGGATGGCTTACTATTGCTTTACTAATCTTTACTAGTAAAGGATGGATGTCAATCTTTTGCAACAGGACATTTTTTTGGTTTACACTCTCTACTGTCTCCTATTGTAAGTTGTGAAAATAGAAAGGGTCATAGGCAATCTTTACTGGTTGGTGATTTGGAACATTTTCTGGTTGGTGGTTTCAAACATTGTTTATTGTCCATAATATATGGGATAATCCTTCCCATTGACGAACTCATGTTTTTCAAGATGGCTATTGCACCACCAACCAGTTTTTATTTTTCCATTCAGTTGGGAATGTCATCACCCCATACAATTGTCCATTCATTTGGGAATAATCATCCCAACTGACTCATATTTTTCAGAGGGGTAGGTATACCACCAACCAGCCATTCCATTGCCAATGTCATCATCCCAACTGACGAATTCCGTCCGATCATCCTCAGGATGATGAGGAGATCCAGAGCGAATCGTCGGTTTGGCGGCCCAGCCTGGCCGTTGGGGGTTTGGTCTAGGGGAAACATCGAAAAAGATGTGGAAAAACCATGTTTTCCCGTTCAGAAAATGATGTACAAATGGTGGGTTCTCCATCCACAAATAACTGGTTGGTGGTTTGGAACATTTTTTATTGTTCCATTCAGTTGGGAATTTCATCATCCCAACTGACGAACTCATATTTTTCAGAGGGGTAGGTATACCACCAACCAGATAATGTTAGTTTGCAGAGTACTTCGTTGGATTGTCACGGCCGTGGATCGAAACCCCAAGGCACCCTAGCATGAAAATCGTTGGTGAGTAGCATGTAAGTTTCGGTATGCGGTGCGAGGGTTTACTCATCGGATTGATCATGATCAAATGAGTCCGACTGTTTGAAAATGTCTAGATGATGAAATCTGAAAATCAAAATCGGTGTAGGTTTGATGTAGAAAGCCTCCCGGAAACTTGAACCTTGCTGAAGGGTTGGACATAACTATGGAAAATCACAATTTTTAGTGGGTAAATCAACTATAAATGACCATTTTCAATAGCTATGTAACAGTCATTACCAGAGGGTAGCTATGTCTCCAAGGTCCTGGGTCCACTGGGTCCTGGATCCCAGGTGTTGACGGACGAAGAAGAGGCGTTGGAGAGATACAAAGTGGTCATCCACGCCATGCAGGACGTGCTGTTCGGTGTTCGGGGCGGCTGGGCTCACGTCGCGAAATCCAGACATCCAGACGTGATATCATGTGTATGGAGTATGGACATTTGTTTTTTTGAGTGTGATGATGATGGATAAGGACATGAATGTGTATATTATATATATATATGATACACTATATTATTCACCGTGGCACATTCACATTATCTATTGACAGTTCGTTCTTCAGCAAAAAAAATCGTTTCTCGTTTTTTTCGCGAGCTCTGACCTCGCCGGGACGGAAACCATCCAGCGGCAAAGCTACTCGATTTACTGTGTGCATATGGAGGTTTCCTAAAATGGTACCCCTTTATCGCTGGATGGTTTGTAGTGGAAAATCCTACTAAAAATGAATGATTTGGGGGTATCCCCATGACTTGTCGGAACGGAAAGCTCCATATCAGAAATCCATAGGAATCACAAAAGAAATTGGCAGTGAGTCCATCTGCAATGTTATTTTTCGAAAAATTTCAGGACAGTTATATATAATACTTAAGTAGAAATGAGTTCAGGACATGCCGATGGACATAGAATCAAGATGGTTCCATGATTTTCCCTAACTCTTGACTCTTTTTTCGCCAAGAGACCTCGCTCCAACATGTCCAAAACATGTCCCAGAACCCACTTGAGATGCGGCTGAGTTTTGGAGAATCGGAGATCCCATCCCGTGTCAAACTTCCAGCTGGTGATTTTTCAGGAGTTTTCGGCTGCGGAACAAAAGCGCCGTGCCAATGCCGAATCTCGGTCAATTCAGAGGTGACGAGACGGTGCCATGGTGAACCCCAAGGAAATGCAGAATGGCATTGGGGAATGGATGTCCACGTGTTTCGGGATTGTTGACTCTTATAATCTCTTATATAGATGTTCATTTGTTTTTTTTGCAAAACTGTTTTACAAGAGATGTTGACCCATTTTGTTGTTTTGAGGACGTGGCATGACATGTTTTTGTGCATCAATGACATCCTGATCCCAACAGCAGCAGTGGCTGCTAGACCCCTGTTAGGCGATTCGATTAGTTCGGGGATTATATGATTTTGCTAAGCAATATCTCGGAACTATCATTGTCCATTACTGTACCCATAGGATCCATGTATGCTATATATGGTAACATGTACCATCAATATACCCCAAATGTTATAGCATATATACCATATGCCATACATGGATCCTATGGGTTATTGGAATCCCATGCAATCCCAATTAACCAGGCAGTATAAAGGAATGCTGGTTGGTGGTTTGGAACATGAATCTTATTTTTCCATATATTGGAAATAATAATAATAACCGCAACTGACTAATATTTTTCAGAGGGGTTGAAACCACCAACCAGAAAGGAATGAATGAGGTTTTGAATACTGCTCACATGTCGCTACGTTTCTTTGTTTTTTAAAGCAAAGATATAGCGGGCATAGCCTGCCAGGACTGCACTACGGTATCAACGATAATACAGAACATAGCAATGGAACGTTTGCATATTCACTGACCAAGTCATTTACCCTCTGGTAAAACTAACATAACTATGGAAAATCACAATTTTTAATGGGTAAATCAACTATAAATGGCCATTTTCAATAGCTATGTTTGTTTACCAGAGGGTACTTCCATATTTGTTTGCTGGACTTTCCATTCATGTCAGAATGTGTTCCCGTCTTTCAGCCGGGTTATTTCTTACACATGGAGCACAAGTCTCATGGGATTACTGCTTGGTCGTTGCAAGATGTTGCAAGTATCATTTATTTTCCAGTTCCCACTTTTTAAAGTTGATCTCCAATTGGCTTTCATATTTGCATTGGGGATTGCAAACACCAGAGGATTATAATGGCTTACAGTAATATTCTCAATCCTATCCGATTTTGTTGATTTCTCCCATGATAACCTTGGAAGTCACGTGTGTCTATTTGTTTGTTATGTAATGTACTGTCAATACAAGCTGTTCTTAACACCAAACAGTTTTCGTCGTTAGCAACTTGTTCATTTGGATCCTCGTACAACACGCCCAAGGAGAAACGAAGACTGAAAGCCATCAGGGACGGAAAGGAGGTGGGGCTTGGCATGGCTAAACTAACATTTGGTAGGTGTTTTTTTTTACAGATAAACATTAGTTTTCCCAACAAAAATGAGGGATGTAACATGATATGATGGCCAGGGATACTGTGGATCTTGTTGCTTGCTGGTTTCAACGTTTGTTCGATGATCCCCGATTGACTTTCGTATTGTTCAAGGGGGTGGCTCTACATACGTACATACATACATACAGACATACACACATACACACATACACACATACACACATACATACATACATACATAATATGTACATATACATGATATACATATATATATATATATATACACATTATATATATACACATTATATATATACAATATTTATATATATACATTATATTGTACATATATACACATAATGTGTATATATATACAATATATATATATATACACAATATATATATATATACAATATATATATATATATACATTATATATACAATATATATATATACACATAATATGTATATATATATATATACATTATATATATAATATATATATTATACATACATATAATAATATATGTGTATATATACACAGGTATATGTTATATGTCTATAGTGAGCACCGGAGCACCCCAGTTTTTGTTTGCAAATGTTTGTTAGATTACCAATTTTATTTCATTTAGTTTGTTGAATTATGTTTATTCTCCATTTGCCTGTTATGTTCGGTAGCTTAGATTCTCCACGCAATGATATTCAGCCATATTTGAACCTCCCAAACATACAATAATCATTGGTCTGCATGGTGATTTCCCCTGTTTATATCGTTTAGTTAAAGTGAACATGTTCCCTTTTATATGGATCTATCTGGGGGATGTCCCTTTCTATAGTGAGGAATCACAACGTGGATTTCCTCCTTTCTTGTTGGGGGTCATCCCCACCCCAATTACTCGCTGTGTTCAGGTCTTGACGAAGCTTGAGGCTAGCAGTGCTGAATCTTGGATTAATGGGATGGGTCAAGTTTCTTGCGGCCGAAAAAACTGCCTAGTGGCCACCTGTCAGATTTTGATGGGTTACCCTCTGGTAAATTAACATAGACCCTGGCAGGTAGGGGTTGGAAGACTAGTTTCCATTAAAAATTGGTGATTTTCAGGGTCTATGTTTATTTACCAGAGGGTAAGTTGGTACAACAATGTCAGACATCTTAGTTGTTTGGAATTGTTTTTAGGTTTCTATGCTATGCTGTTGCAACAGTTGTTCATAGATTAGCCTCCGCTACTTTGACATAGAGCTATGGGCACTGGCCGATTTGAATTCAGATTTACCATGATCCTGTGTTGGTTGAACATCCATGTGTTGAGTATCAATTTTGAGTCATACCCATGTGGCATTGGAAGAACATGACAGCAGCCACTCACTTCAGAAGATCCTCCGAGCCAGTTCACTACAAGTTCGCATGCGTACAGTTTCAGAATCCTTGGTGTTGGTTCATGACTATTGTCGGATGATAATGATAAGAGCGTACATTAGCATTTTATATGCATTCAATGGCAATTTCAGGAACCTAAATTGGAGGTACCTACCATATATAAGGCCTATGTAAGGGAATATCACCACAAAATATGGTCTTATATGGTACAGTACCTCCATTTTAGGATCCTGAAATCATTGATGCATGTATATCACAGTAGTGAAAAATCATGTGGGAATCCCCATGGAATAAAATAAGGCAATAAGGTGGTTGAGAATGCCCCCCCCTTGCTTTCTGGCTATGGATCATACCCAACGATCAAACCTGCAGATGTCATTTGCTTTGCTTCAAGAACGGGTGTGTATACCATCTGGTTATTTAACATAGCCATGGAAAATCACCATTTTTAATAGGTAAACCATCTATAAATGGGTCATTTTCCATGGCTATGTTAGTCATAACCAGATGGTAATTGGAGGGTCCAAGAATTTTTCATGTCATGGCTGACATGGAAAAAACAACACATACTTGTGGGCAATTTATAACGACCTCACTGTTCTCCCGAACCCTGGAATCATGGTTAATAAGGGGAATCATCCCAAAATGGCCCAACATTTCAGGTTAGTGATTATATATATATATGTATGTACTGTATACATATTGAACACAAGATATTCTCATCCCGGTTGACTTTTTGAACCAGAGAGTTGACCATTATCTCCAGGAGTTGAGCGATTTTGCCACAGGGATGGAATGAGCTGAAACCATATTTCTCTGTAATATGAATGATTGTCTTATAAACATATCTGAATAACTATGAATGATTATAATAATGATTTTCTCTTATATGATTTTCCCCTCATCCAGAATATATATATATATATGAATGATGAATGATTATCTAAAAAAGATCCAAGAGTTTCCCAGTTTTGGGTGGTGCTCTTATCTTACCCTCTGGTAATTTAACATAACTATGGAAAATCACCATTTTTAATGTGAAAATCCACTATTTCTATGGTCATTTTCAATAGCTACAGTATGTTAAATTACCAGAGGGTACATATTCTAACATGGTTTACCCTCCATTAATCAAACGTGTAATGAAACGTGGCAATGGAAAATCACCTATAAATCTATAAATGGAGGTTTTTTAATGGGAAAATTACCAGAGGCTACATCCCACGTTAAGCCCGGGCACCGGTGATCCCGGCGATCCGAGGATTTCTACCGACAGATGGCATCCTGCACCTTACCCGAAGATCTCAGCGTACAGGCGCCGGTACGGGGTCCGGGGTCACATCGCATGTGAAGAAGTGGTTGTATTATCACCTATTATATATTTATTATATATTATAGTATATTCTATTATAATATATTCTATTCTATTATATTATATTATCTGTTGACTGTATATATATATATGATAATATTATAATATATATATATATGTAGACTCAGCATAGCCCAAACATAGCGCATTACATAAGCCATATAAAAGCCATAACCCATTCATAGCCCATATCAAAACCATATATACAGCAAGCTATAGCCCATAATGCAAGTGGGCTGTTTCATATGGTTATCACTGGGATGCACCGATGCACCCCCAGAAATCCCGAAGGGAACCACCAAAACTTGGTCCGCTGGGGCACCGTTCATGTTTGGTTTTCTATCTGGGGGTTTCCATAGTCATGGGGGTACCCCAAGCTCTAGGATGGTTATTTCATGGAAAATCCGAATTTAAAATGGATGATAACTAGGGGTACCCCCATTTCAGGAAACCTCCATCTGTCAGATTTTAGTGTTGTATTGCAACTGGACAAGTTTGAGATGTCTCGCACTGTTTGGGTACTGTAATTTTATGGTTGATTGATCCCGGTCCTGTTCATTATATTGATTTGTAGGGCTGATATTTTCCCATTCTGGTGTTTCTGAGTTTCTACCATGGATTGGGCCCACATGAATAGCTGTTAAATGGTTTAGCATCAAAAATAACCAAACATCAACAAAACTGAGTTGCATATCCATGATTGAGCTACAGCTACCAGGCAAAACTGTTTCTCATTTCTCCGGTTGGTGGAGATGTGCCTTTCCTATTTGTAATATGACAAGTTCTATTTTTCTATGGGCTTTAGACCACCAAGCCAGTTTTTCAATAGGTCCTGTAGGTCATCCATGATGATGCGTAACTGGATTAATGTCAATGTTTGGTTGTTGTTTTCACATACCTGGGATGTAGATTATTTTTTCCCCCCATACCTGAGATTATGATCTCAGTTGATTTTCATAGTTTTCAACCAGGTTGAAGCAGCAATCAGATATACCTGTTGGTACTCATTATTTCCCCATGATATCCCGACGATATATGATCCCAACTACCTTCCGGTAATCAACCATGGCTTGCTGGAAAACCACCCATATGATGTTCCCAATAAATCCTCCATTTATTTCGGCTATTTCCCGGCTATTCATGTTGAAGTACCGAACGCTATTATTTTTTCCCCAGATTAATCATCAATTTCATTATCATAATACCATGTTTGGGGATTTTTTCTACACTTATCCTCTGGTTATTTAACATAGCCAAGGAAAAAAATGCCCATTTATAAGGGATTCTCCATGGCTATGTTAAATAACCAGATGGTATTATCAGTTATTCATCTACCCCATCATTTTCCCAAGGAACAAAAAAACAGTTTGGGGATAAATCACTTTTCCCACGATTAATCACATTATGTCCAATAAATCCTCCATTTACCCTCTGGTAAACTAACGTAACTATGGAAAATCACAATTTTTAATGGGTAAATCCACTATAAATTGTTATTTTCAATAGCTATATTAGTTTACCAGAGGGTAGTTCGGTGATTTCCCAGTCATGTTTTGTTTATCTTATTGGTTTTGGGCCCTTTGATCTCCCAATTCTCCCTGCCATCAGCCCATGGGCAAGCGAGGCCGAAGAGGACCGGCGCAAGCGCTTTGCCATTGAAGAAGCACGGCGGCAGCAGGACCGCGTTACGGTGAGGCAGTTGATGGTAGATTCATCGTTGAATACCCTCTGATAAACATACAAAAAGCTATTGAAAATGGCCATTTATAGTGAGTTTTCCCATTAAAAAGGGTGATTTTCCATAGTTTTTTGTATGTTTACCAGAGGGTACCCTTTGAAGATGAATTCTGATTTTCCCACTGGGAAATCCATTACTTAACTATTTAGGGAATCTGTAGGGAATATCTGGGAAATCACCGAACTTAGTGGGTGTCCATCGAGCTTGGAAAGTCATCGAACTAAAAGGGGACCGGGGTCCACTGGTCCACTGCCCTGTTTGATTCCCAGAGGTGTAACCTGTAATCGTTGGACGATGGTTGCTACTCATCGTGAATGATATGCTACTCATCAGCTAAAACATCCGTGTGACTTGAAGAGTAACATATCATGATGGTCCATGATGGTTTCCTATCATCAGCGATTGGTCTGGTCTTAGGGAGTTTTTCATCACGGAAACCATTGGTTGGTGGCACCAACTAAAAGCGGCTTTCCTCTAATATGTTTGTTCCTGGGAAGCACTTAAATGGACTGTTTGTCGGCAACAAGCCTGAGGATATGACCACCAGCATCATGGACACCAGGGGGATGTGACTACCCACAAGACCAAGTCACCGTGGTTGTCTCATCTCAGAGCCTAGACAAAACACCAGAGAGATCAAAAAATGTCCTGGGATACATAGTGGTGCCTCCTAGTTACAAGTTGGTTTACAACCCCATCTAACTAGATATATTCCGATTCCTCGTAAACCCTAGTTATTGTATGTATAAAAGAACTTAGCTCCCTTGGGGGCCCGACATTGTAGGCATCCTGAAGTAGTGACAAACCTTTCCAAACTGAAGCAACTGGAGTGCTTGTCACCCAGTTGCTAGCATGCGTATGTAGCATCCGAGTAAACAAAGGGGTATCTCTTGACTAGGCCCAGGAGGCTGCCTAGGCCTACTTGTTCTCATGGAGACTTCCTCCCAAAGAATCCCAATCACAAGGCCTGACCCATGCGGAACAGGGCCAGAGCGGCTCGTGATTTTCCATGCCGTGATATCGCAGGAGAGGATCTATGAGTACACGTTGCCTGGCTTGAACGCTTCGACCGATGATTTGGAGATCGATGATTTGGATCTTGCAGACTCTGGCTGGTTGGTTTCAACTACCCTCTGGTAAACTAACATAGCTATTGAAAATTGCCATTTATAGTTGATTTACCCATTAAAAAAGGTGATTTTCCATAGTTTTTTGTATGTTTACCAGGCCGGGTATCTTGTACTACAGTATCCAGATGGTTACGGGGTCACATCCTGGAGCTAAGGGTATCCACGTTCGAAAAGATGGGGAGCCGGAGCTACGAATTGAGGAGCTCCTGAGCACATGTTTTTGGGATGATCCCAAAATGCCTATCATTAGTTTCTTTGGGCCTTGAAAGCACTTTTTACAGTTTGATGGTCAAAATCATGTTTGAACCATAAAAAAACTGAGAAACATTATGGCAACCCGGTAACCCCTGAGAATCAGATAGAACATGATAGAACAGTGATTTGCCCGGGAAAATCATCCAGATAGATGCTGTGTAAACACCACACCACGAATCTATGCTCTCCAATGAAATGACCGAGAAGAGGAGGTATGGTCATTTCGGCAATGCGATGGTTAAACGGTTAAACAATGGAACCATGCTGGCTACTTGTTTCATGTGTATATATATATCATTTATAAATTGTAATGATGAATGTGATGATGAATGTGATGATGAACCATGATGAACCATGATGAACCATGATGAACCATGATGAACCATTTGAGTTGGCAGTAGACCTCCCAATTGTGACGGATATTTGTTGGGGCTTTGGCTGAAACCATCAAACAACCATAGTTCCGGTAGCAAGATAATGATCGGGATGGTATAAACCATCCATCCGAACGGAAGTCTTAGGTCGTTTGCCAACGCCCCAAGTGTGGCCAGCGAAGCCGAACGTTGGGACGCTCAGCTGGGAGTCTGGCGCTTCAGCTCTGAACTCCCCATATGTGAATGAAATTACTGTACGATCCGTAACACATGGGATATTACTGGATATTAACCATTAAAAGTGTGGGTATAGGGCAACGCATACTGATTTTGTTTGCATACATGCTGACATTGAATTGGGTTGCCATCGCATCATGTGTTTGTTTCTTTCCACTGCGACTAGGGGTGGGGTTCAAGCCTAGAAAGACCTACGGTTGCAAAGGTTACCCTGGAACCCGGAGAATGCTGACGACCAAGCTGCTCGAAGCTTTCGGCAAGCGTTCGACTTGCTGCTTTCGCGTGGATGCGCCTATCTCGGTTGAGCAGTTTGTGAGCAGCCGAAAAGACCCTTTCCCCGAGAACAAACGGCAGACAGCTTTGAGGCTTTTCCAGAGCCCGAGGAGAAACGATCCGACGAAGCCGTCAAGGCACTGGAGCCGCAGCTCAAGAGGCTCCAATGGAGTTCTCAAGAGACGAGGCGGAAGCAGGCAGCAAAAAACCTCAGCCGGGGAGACCTGCAGATGTTGCTCGATGCGGCCGGCTCTGATGTACGCCGTGAGGACGTGGCAGGTGACTGCAAAGATGTGCGACTGAGAGCAGAAGTTTCACATATAATCCAGTCGGTTTGGCAACCCGCCAATTGACGGTGGAAAGTGACAAGTTGTTTCAGAACGTTCCATGGCCCAATGCAATGAGACATAGCCGATGTCTCCATAGGCGTTTCTGGTTGAACTAATTTTGAGAGATGTGCTTTACCTTAGGTAGAAAGCGCTCCAGCAGCTCAATAATCACATCGGAAATGCACGGGAACAGAGACTGTCTCCGCTGGAAGATAGCAGAGTAGCCATTGTTTATGATATCACATCCTCTTCAAGGCAGAGAAAGAGAGAAGATGTGCAGATGTATATCGTATAAAGATGTAATGTATATAATATAATAATTATATAGATCTTCTTTGTTTATCTTGTTTCCCTTACAAGAAATCTTTGCTCAGACGATCTCAGGAAACAAGCCGGGAACGCTGTTTCGCGACATTGCTGCCATTCTGCGCCCAGAATTCTACTGCTTAAGACAGCTATTCTGATCATTTGGTTGTTTTGATGGGTGTCCTGTTGTAGCTGCTGCATCAGACATCTTCCAGCAGACATCACACCACAAATCTTTACCGCACAGACATCACCATACAGATCTCTAACACAGAGACATACGTAACATCACATATCTCCACCCCCTAAACATCACACAGATTTCCACACAGACTACACCACAGTCCGAGTTTTTGTATCTTGTGGTCTACGTTATCATTACTGGTTGGTGGTTTGGAACATGTTTCTTTTCCATAACAAAAAAGGGATAATCCTGTCCATTGACTAATATATATTTTTCAAGATGGTTGAAAGCACCAACCAGATTATGGAAAATTGTTAATTCTCAACCATCTTGAAAAAATTATATTGTTGTTGTGGTGATTAGTCAACCATCTCAAAAAACCAATGGATATTCTCATTGTTGTCTTGGTTTCACCACCCATTTTCCATGGTGATCTCAGTGATCTCCAATCACTTTCCTCAGCGACCATTGGGAAATGGTTTTAAAACATGTCCAACCTAGTTTTGGAGTCATGTTTAAATACCGGGACCTATGTTTATATAACATGTTTTAAAAGCGGACTGCTAATATCCACTAACCCAGCCCCACATGTTTGTTGAGTGCTGTGTTTTTTTTTTATTAAAAAAAAACATGTTTGCTGGCTGAAAGATGTAGGTGTTTTTTCACGGTGTTCTTGCAGCTGGAACACTGAACTGAGCCCAACAACAGCTTTTGGTGTCTAAGGACCTGTGCGGATAAAGAAACAAAGGTGTTGATTTTCGCAATGTTGTTTATATCATATTATTCATAGCAATTCCCAATATATCGCTATAAGACATTCCAAAAAACAGTGTTTGGTCTTAACCCATGTTGTTCTATGGCCCAAAGAGATGTTCTGGAATACAACGGCTAAAAGTACAAAATGGCGATTGATCGAATCCTCTCATATTTTGGGGTGATGAACGTCCAGAACTACTCGCTATTTGGGTGTTTCATGAGGGCACCAGGGTTTTGGCCGATACCCTATCCTACCCATATGGTGTTGATATGTTTTGATATGTTGTGCCTTCTAGTTTTCTTAGTTGCAGCATTATCCTCTGGTCATCAAACCTGGGAAAAGACACTTTCCCAGCCATAGCTGGATGATTAAAAAAAACAACTCCACTTAGATCGGGGATTCGTGTATCATATTTTTCCCAGCTGTAGGCATGTTTGATTACCATCTATATTTTGTTTTCCCAGCTATAGGCATGTTGTCCCATCACTTTTATCATAAATCTATAAACTTCTATTTTTCATGGGAACTTCCCAGCCATGTTTGCTGTCGAACGAAACCTTCATTTTGCTTCACAATTTTCCCAGCAACGAAACCTCCATTTGGTGACCGGGGATAAATTAGTTGCCATTGGTGAGAGGAAAGAAAACATAAATCGAATTTTGCTTTATATACCATTATATACCCATTATACCAACATTTGTCACGGTTAAATCACCATGTTGTTCCCATAAAACCCCATGAAATCCTGTGAATCCCAGACTAAATCCATGGTTAATCCCATGAATTTCCCCGAATTCCCAGGTCAAATCACCATTGTTCATGGTTAAAACATGTTGTCCGCAACCTTGTGATGTTCACCCAGACTCATCGTGTCGTGACATACCAGAGACAATTCTGTGTTGGGAAGTTGCGAATCAAGGCCAAAGGGGAAAATTAGGCCACGGTGGCATGTGAAAGATACCCTCTGGTAAACATACAAAAAGCTATTGAAAATGGCCATTTATAGTGGATTTACCCATTAAAAATGGTGATTTTCCATAGCTATGTTAAATTACCAGAGGGTACCTTGAATACAGTTATCTTCATGAGGAAACAATATCACCTGATCATCATGAGGGATCAAAATATCAAAATCCGCCAGCCCCTATGACCACTATATTCAATATGCTGAACGGACTAACAACATCAACTTGATCTTCATGAGGGATCAAAATTCGCCACCTCAGAACAGTATGTTGATTGGGGAAATAACATCAACTTTACCTTCATGAGGGATCAAAATTAGCCATCCCCTCTGAACAATACGTTGATTGCGGGACATCAACTCCGGGCAAACGTCCAGGTTGCAGCGAACATGTTGAACCAACATAATATGACCATTTGCCAACAATAGTTGACAGAAGTTTTGTACCAGTGGTTGATAAGTAGTGTGGATCTTGTTGTTTTTCCTCATATTCATTGCAATTTCCTAGTCATCGTTGACCCCATCTTTGTTGCTCCCCAGCACCGAAGCCCCGCCCATCTGGCCATATTTTTCGGCCAGGCGTCTTTGGTCGCTCCACCTTTGCCTGTCCCTGCTGCGGGCGCCTCTTCCACGTCTTCCACGAGGCTGAGAAAATGGTGGAAAGTGGTGGAAAGAACATATAATATTGTATACCCTCTGGTAAATTAACAGTTAGACCCTGAAAATAGCCTAGTTTTAATGGAAACTAATCTTCCAACCCCTATCTGCCAGGGTCTATGTTAATTTACCAGAGGGTAATATTATATAATCAATATGTTAATGGATCCATTTTTCTGATTAATGGATTGTATATTGTAATCCTGATTATGTAAAACAATGCCATAAACCATCCCCCAGTCATCACCATAGATAGGTGGTATATAGTGGTATGTTTACGATTCCCAAATGGGTGGTTTATGAATGTTTATGATAGTTTTACCCACATGAGTGGATTGTAAAGTCTTCTCAGCCTGAAAATTGTTTGTAAATCCTGATTACAGTAAATGGAGATGAACTCATTAAATGAACATCTCACCTTAAACATGCAATCCTGATTAACTTCCAGAACATGTTTTCCGGTGAAAAGGAAGGTACTGAATGGTTGGCCAATAAGTTAATAATGGTTAATATTGAATAGTAATCGTTGATAATGGTTCATTATTGTCAATACATGATAATAAATGATCACAGTTATCATGTTTATATAATATATAGCTGGTTGGTGGTTTCAAACATTTTTTATTTTTCCATAATATATTGGGAGTAATCCTTCCCAACTGACTTTCATATTTTTCAGAGAGGTAGGTATACCACCAACCAGATAGTGGCTAGCAAATGCTTATGGTTAATACAAGTTCATACATGGGCCTCACATCTCAAAAAATGATCCCATCCCCCCGTTTCATAGCAAACACCCTCCAGAAACCATGGTGAAATTTAGTAAAACGTATTGGCTTAACACACATTTTTGGATAGGTTTGGAACAATAGAATGGCGGGGGGGGTATATAGCGGGATGGGATGAAATGCTTCTCACCTCTTTCTGATGAAACTATGAAGGACCACAAGGTGCCCAACGCGCGAAGTAGAGAATTAGGAAAGCCTCTTTGAAGCCCTGAAAAGCCGGAAATTATTCTTTTATATACAGAACATATAACACAAAATGACATCAAGTGAAAAAGAGGACAACGAAGTCATAGCATCACAGAACATGAAACTGGAGTTCATTGAGATGGAGCGATGCGTTATGGATCTCACCATCAACCCTCATTGAAGACCACGCGGTGGTTCGCGTCATTGCGTCCAAGACAAAAACCACAAGTCGTGGTATGCCATTTGCATTTGTCAAAACTGGCCTGCTCTCACAGTCAGCTCATGCGAATTGGGGCACTAAGTGGATGAATCTGCTCAGGACCGCACTCCAACGCACATTGGAAGCTTACCCCCCAATTTGCCCCTGATTTTTTGATCCCGGTCTGTGAATCAACCTTGAGCATCCCACGTTTGTAGCACCTTGAAATCAAGCGGAAAAAGGGAAGAACAAAGGTAAAGACATAAAATCCAAAAACATTGTGAAACAATAGAGAAAGGCAAGAAAGCACCTAGATGCAACAACTCATACGATTAAAATCGTTGCAAAGAATATGTGCCCATATGATTAGAGGGGTAAACCTGGAGTTAGAGTCTGTAAGGGATATTTTTTAATTTGTGGATGACAACATCATGAGATTTGTGGGGTCCTCCGTCAAGGGAGCTGGAAAATAATGTGCACTTGCGGAGGGACAAGAACATATTTTTTTAATTTGTCTGAAAATGTGATGATTCATCACCATGTTCCTGACTCATGCATGGGTATACACCATTTTCAGCCAAACCCATATATTGATATATATATATATATGTATATACATATATATATATATCATACATATATATATATATATCATACATATATATATAGTATATTGTATAATAATATCTCTTAGCTGCAGCCAAAGAATGGTCAATTTCAGACGCGGGCGCCATGGAGTGACAGCCATGACAGTTGTGTGTCCTATTCCCAGAAACATGGGCCAATGGGTTAAACCTCTGGTACGCTAGGCACCATAAAATAGCTGCTTAATGGATGGTTATCCCCCAAATATGGTAATAATAGGTTTTGACCCATCTCCACATGACCATGTGGCTCAAAAGTGAGACGCCACAGCTGGAGTTGTGATCTTATCTTGTTTCTCGACCTTCACCACAGTGGTTAGGAAAATCAAAGTAATCTGATTTACACTGGATTCATTTGGAGGTTTCCTAAAATGGGGGTACCATGGCGTACCCCAAATCATTCATTTTATTAGGATGTTTGATTAGAAATCATCCATTTTGGGATACCTCTCCATTTTAGGAAACCTCCATATGTGTGAGTCGAGTAGAGAGATCGTTGAACCATTTGTACTTTGGGTTTCAAATGTTCACCCAAACCTGCTCTCCCAGGACCGGAACGTCACAACTGATCAGTAGAACTTAGCTTCAAAGACCTGCTGAGAAGTGACTGTCTCGCGACCCAGTATAACATCATGTGCTATCATGTTGTATCATTTTTGTAAAGTACTCTCTGGGAAATCAAACATGGAAATTGAAGATCCTCTATAAACGGATATAAATGGTGTTATGTAGGGAAGATCCGCTATAAATAGAGGATTTCCTAGCCATGTTTGATCCCCGGAGGGTTGAACTCGTCTTCATTTTATGAAGATGTTAGGGATTAAGTCGCCATTCGGACAGACCCAAATATCATGTTGCTGGTTATAGATTTCCCAGCAATAAACAATTTTCAGCAGGGAGTCTTTGACAACTTCCAGGGATTGGATGAAAATGTCTGGGTCAAACAGTGGTTTCCGGAAAATTGTCCCTGAAAGCATGTTAAACCACTCATGGAAGGTTGGGTGATATCGTGTATTTGTTTCCGCTATATCACATCCCCGTGATATTTCCCCATTATACATTCTGGTAATTTAACATAGCTATTGAAAATGGCCCAGTCGAAATCGTTGATTTACCGAACTTAAAGTGGTGATTTTCCGTGGTTATGTGGCAGTTTACCAGAGGGTATATCCACCAACATCCCTGTTTTTGGTTGATTAAACCTCTATAATCACCATTAAATCCCATTAAACCACCATTAAATCACCATTAATCACCATTTCCCCATCATATCTCCATGATATACCCTTTTTTTAAGCGCCAACGTTAGGATGGTCGCTACCATGCAGTGGTGGCCCATGGCGTTGAACTGCTGGGTCAAAGTCCGGAGTTTCCTGGCACACGACGTGGGGTGTAGAACCAGCGATGTTTAGAACATAATAATGAGGGGTATATCATATGTATAATCCCCCTAAACTACTGATGCGTTTTTTTCACGCTCAGCCAGGCATTGGGCTTGTTTAGTAGCTTCACGTTCGGTAAAACATCGTAGCGTTATTGTAGACTCGTAGACCCGCAATCAGTTGTAAATTCCTTACGAAGCCATAAGTCAACGCTGGCCGCGCCATTTCAGCCAAGCCATGGGTGCGAAGATAGCATTGAAGACTGTGGAATCATGTGGTAAACCCAATGGCATAAACTCTCCCCAAAAAATCACCATCTTATGGGTGCTATATATATATATATACCATTTGGTTATGACTAACATAGCCATGGAAAATCACCATTTTTAATAGGTAAACCCAGGTAAACCATCTATAAATGGGCCATTTTCCATGGCTATGTTAAATAACCAGAGGGTATATATTATGCATATCAACCATCCCCAAATAGTAGATTAATTTTTGGGTTTCCCATTCAGCTTCATTCTATGTTCAAATGATGCACCAGGAACATGCTACCAGCCATGATGTGCAAGCAGGGTACTGGTGGGGTTCCAACATTTCCCCATGCACTTCACTGGACATGCAGTACCAAATAGTGAAGTCCCATTCTGCAAGAAATTTGCATAATAGATCTGCATACAGTTACATTAGTTACATGTCCAATTTTACACTTTTTAGGGCTTGACAAACCACCAACACGACACCATTGCCGCACCCAATCACCCAAAAACCACCATGGCCAGCGTGGAAGACGCGCCGGCGCCCCCGCACCGACGCATTCACCGCTCTCTGTCGGATAGGCAGCGAGGGCCCAGGGGGTGCCTACCAGGAACCATGGAAAGTGGTGTTTTGTTCAAAATTAATGCTATGGATATAGTAGGGGCAACCATCGCCATCCAGTGATATCTGGGAATTCATGCAAAAAATAGCATTTCCCATGATGTTTTAGATTACACGTATAAGAGGAATGATAATGATGTGTTGGTAGATTTTGATTAAATAATGTTATAGTCTTATTCTTATAGTTATATATGTATATATATATATTGTTATAATTATTATTATTGTTATTTGGTTATAGTGATTATATTATGATATAACTTGTTTATATTGTACATATATATATATACTAATGTATATACTGTATAACTTAATAAATGTCAAGAGGAATATTCATGGAATCGAGATGGGGGATCTGGGGGGGGGTTCTGGATAAGCTTGGATCATTTTCAGAAAGAAAGGTGAATTTCCGGGTGTTCACTGAAAGTCTGGCAGTGTGATTTGACCTGGATTTTGGAGTTGGGGTTGGGTGGCTAAAGGCTTAATAAGGGCTTAAAATGATAAGCATTGGATAAGCCTTGGAGAAGCGAGAAACAGCAAGCTATTCTGCATACCCCCCCCCAAAAAAAAAAAAGACCCCTCAGGACCTCAGATCCCCAAACTTGCTAAAATTGAGGAAACATGGTGAACACGCACCGCAAGCACTGCAAAAATCAAAATTTCCTTTTTTCTGGGTTGTGGCTCAAATCACGCATTGCTTTGGAAAAGCAATGGATAAGGAAGTTCAGCTATCCATGGGGGATAAGACCTTAATAAGGCCTTAAAGGAAAACCCCTTAATAAGCCTTAACAAGCCCTTAATAAGGCTTAATAAGACCTTAATAGGTCCTTAATAGGGGGTTTATCATTTCCCAGCCTTATCAGGAGCTTAAATGACAAGCTCAGATCCTCCTCCCCCACCAGACCCCCCTCTCGATTCCATGAAATATGTTTTGGAGGACCCATGGAACCACTGCCAGGTTGGACAAATATTGCTTCGCCAGCAGCTTCGCTGCCGGTCTGGAATCTGATGAGGCAAAGTTCCTATGTGGCGAACTGAGTCAAAACCCTGGTGCTCAAACTAAGTCCCTAAGTCATAGCTGGTTATATATGGTTATATAATGGATGTGAATTAATAACGCCCCAAATCATGGAAAAAATAGGTTTTGACCCGTCCCCATAATGTGGAACTGGAAAACTGACCCTTCGCTGATCCGACATTTCTGGCTGGAAAGTCCCTGTTTTGTGCAGGGAAAAATCGCTGGGGGAATCGTCGAACTAAATGAAGCAGTTTCCATGTTCGATTGCCAAAGAGACATATCCGATCTTCCAACCCCCTATTTGGCATCGTCAAAATTAGTTCTTAGTTGAACCAGTGATATGTATATACAGTGTATATATATATATATATAGGTTTTAGTTTTAAGATGTTTTGAGTTGGTTCTAGACATCACACACTGGACCAAATCAAAAACAATCCGAGTGGGAATCTAGTTACAGTACAACAATTTGTTATTTCGAGTTAAACTGAGAACGAATGTTGCGATGTGTTTTTTTGAGAAGACGCTTTGACATGTCGAAAAACAACTTCAAGTAGAAGCATTGATGATCCTGGTGGGAGCTATGCCCATTGGTTGGCCTATAGCCTATAGCTGAATTTGTACTGATTTCAAAATGGGTCAATCCTCTTGAAGTACCGAAGTACCAAGCAATATCATGTCTTACCCTCTGGTAAACTAACATAGCTATTGAAAATGGCCATAGAAATAGTTGATTTTCCCATTCGACATGGTGATTTTCCATAGTTATGTGGCTGTTTACCAGGCCAGGTACCTTGTAATTTAAACATGACACAACAGCAACATATCTATCCGCCGTGGCTTCGTGGAGGAAAGCCTTGATGACTCCTACGTCCCAGAATACGCAGTGCTCCTGCAACAACAGAGGACCGTTCCGCAGGTTAGGATCATCCCACGTCATGCGATCAGGTCTAGCCAGCTGACAATTCACCTTCAATGGCTACCCCAGATGTTCATTGGGGATCACCAATGTAAATTAATGTGTTTTCATATTTTGGGAGGGGGCATAAAAGATCGATGATCTTGGAGGGAGATACTGGGGTTTTCTCAATAAATATCATTTTCTGGGGTACATCAAGTTGTAAGTATCATGTTCAAATAAATGATCAATTATTATATAATCTGAATAAAGATCTAATGAATCCAAAAAAACAATCCAAAATTAAATATTTATAATTATAATATCATTGCCTTTTAAAAGTTTTTTTTTGACATCCCATCGACAGCCATTTGTCCACTGGTGGGACTACGGTCCACTGAGGCAAAAAGTCATTTTCTCTGGAGGCGTCCCAAACGGAATCTAACGGATGCACAACCAACTAATACCTTTTCCCTCAAGTTAAACACCCTTCATAAACCATGGTTTGGTAAGGGATTTACCATCTGGTAAACGTTTACAAAAAGCTATGGAAAATCACAATCTTTAAGTTCGGTAAATCAACTATTTCGACTGGGCCATTTTCAATAGCAAACTGTTAGTTTACCAATGTTTACCAGAGGGTACACATATTTGGGACGGTTTATGTGATGTTTCGTGGGGGATTACAACTCAAGCGGATCCGTGTAGCTTCGATCGTACCGAGTGACTGATAGAATTGTGGGTCCACACCGCCACTACCAAAAATCGAGAAAAGCCATAGAATTGGGAGTAAAGATCAGAGTTTCCCTTGAAATTTCCCATACATTTCCCATAAATCCATTGAATTACCTTAAAACTCGGCTTTTTCCGTCACGGCAGGATGGATTCAGAGAAATCCGATGGGACCACGACGAGCTCTCCAGTGACTGGGAACAAAATAACAACGGTGGATTCTCAGTTGCCACATTTGGTTACAGATATGTCATATTTTTTTAGCCATCACTTAAATGGATGTATGATTTTATGAGAAGTGTTTTTTTTCATAGAACTTAAGTGAACTTGGATTATTTAACCACGCTGATTGGTGCTCAAACAAATAGGTGCTAGATAAACGCCACGCCAGTTCTCCAGAACGATCCCAGTGGTTCCATTTGGGTAATTTGAGTTCTCATCCAGTTTGGATGTTTTCGGATTTTCCATGAAATAGCCAGCATCCATTTTTGGGGGGCTACCCCCATGACTGGGGAAGAAGCCTGACTCCAAGGTGGTTCTTGGGGAGGCTTCGTCATTCTGGGTATCTGTGGCAAATGTCACCAAGTCCAGAGCCTCAGAGCCTGCCAAATGAAGATAAGATATGTATCTGGGTAAATTATAACGACCTCACTACGACCTCACTGGAAATCATGATTAGTAAGGGGAATCATCCCCAAATGGCCTTAATTCAGATTAGTGAATTATTATAATTTGCCCAGATGTATGGATACCCTCTGGTAAACTCACATAACTATGGAACACCACCTTTTTTTCTTCGCGGGTAAATCCACTGTAAATGGCCATTTTCAATACCTATGTATGTTAGTTTACCAGAGGAAATGTGCGATGTAATATCAAGATCTTCACTTCTCAACCCATTTATATCCATTTATATTCATTTATATCCATTTATATCCATTTATATCCATTTATATCCATTTATATCCATTTATATCCATTTATATCCAATTTATATCCATTTATATCCATTTATATACATTTATTAATATTATTAATATGATTGAATGTCCATGATGGCCGGCCCCATAACAAGTTGATTGTTTTGGGTCGCAGGCGTGAAAAAGTGTGTGTTCCAATAGCATTTTACCATGCTTCAAGACATACAAGTCCCATCATATGTGGCAAGTGTTTGCAACTGGAGTCTGAACCCCCAGTTGCACCCAATCACCCAAGTATATGGCTATGGATCAATACCTATTAATACCATTTTTAGTGGGATGAACATCCATTTACCAGCTATTTTGGGGTTCACCAGGGGTACAAGGTTTTGACACACTGCCATATATCAAAACCCACTACCCTTTGGCTTCCGTTGCCAGGTTAGCGGAAGCTGTTCGTGCAACGTATTGTTTTTTTTTGGGGTGGCTCCCAACTGTTGGGTGTTTGTTTCAATGGCTGGCATGAGGACCGTATAATCAAGCTATCAATCCTTATTCTTGTTACATGACACTTCTTGTTCATCTATAACACCTTCATCTAATCATGTTTTAAATCCCATAAATTGCAGCTATGTTTATAACATCTATCTGATGCGTGGTGTCAGACGATTCTTTATGTCTTCAACATGTTTCATACTGGGATGAGGATCCACACGATCCCCGCTGGTTTGAAACCACCAATCAAAAGCATGCCAAATTCTATGAAAAAATGTCAATTTCTGCTCATTGAATCACATTAAAGTTCCATTTTCACTATTTTTCATTGGAAAAAACATATCCTTATCAAAACAGCCCTGACTTCCTCATCCAAATTCTAGGTCCTTGGTGGGCATCGGTATGCTGACCTTGCCCCGCGCCGTGGCGGAAGCCGCTTCTCCGGCTCTTGCCACGTGGCGTAACCGGGTAGATTTATAGCTAAGGTTTGGGTGTCCTGGATATCAGGGAGTCAGCATTCAACTTCCAGGGGGCTTATCTGGTAATCATGGCCAGCTGGACAATTCCCTACAAATGGAGGTATTTTTCGCTAGGAAAGGCATCTAGAATCTGTACATAGTCTATTTTCCAGCAAGCCATGTTTGATTACCGGAGGGTAGATTTGGTTCTACCACGATAAGGAATTGACTTTTCTGCATTGGTTTTTGGGGTTACCAATGACATCCAATGGGAGACAGGGAGACAGGTCACGCCAGGATACCATCCATGTTGGAGGCTTGATAGTTTTGACCCACGGCATCCGAATGAGTATGAGTTATTAATAACCCAGGTTAAGAATTGGGTTACCGGTATATCCCACGAACTGAACTGGGTTCTGAAATTCTTATCCACTTAGGATTCCTGGGATGCACATCCAAGTGATGAGACCGGTATTGGCATGTTCAAAGTAAAGCCAGCATTTGAAGGATGGAAATTCCCATAAGAAGTCGATGCAGATCCACCATTCATAGATCATTTTCCAGGATGTTCCACAAGTGTTCGTCAATGTACAGCTGTACATTGATTCGCCTTTCTGTCTCTAGGCCATTCTGGGCCTGTTGCTCTGTGGAGCACTGTGCGCGGTGTCTTTCTTCTTCCTTGGCTACTGTGCTCACTTAACCAATTCCGAAGCTTGGCTGCATCGCCCAGATTTTGATTCGGATGATGGAAACACCTGTTGGATCAAGATCCCAGTTTTCTTGGCCAAAACACGAAATCCATAGTTTTCTCAGCAAAATCTATGAAACATCTCATGATCCCATAGGATCCATGTATGCCATATATGGTAACATTTACCATCAATATACCCCAAATGTTAGCATATATACCATACATGGATCCTATGGGTGATATCACATGTTTCTGGGCGAAAATAAGCGAAATCCACCCAGATCCAGGCTAAATCCTCCACTTTTTCCTTGCTAACCTCACCATTTTTTCGAAGGAGACTCTGCCGCGACTCTGGGAGCAAACCATCGGACCTCAGAGCACCTTCTTCGTGGAGATGGTGGTGTTCTTTGGCCCAATGAAAACCCCCATGGTTTCGGGCTCCCCGGGCTCCCCCATTTTAAGAAACACACATTTTGGGGTGAAGAACATCTAAAAATACTCCAAACACATAGGGGAGGCATGGGGAGGCAAAATGCCAATTTTCGCACAACATGGATTTGATGGGTGCCCTATTTTCGGATAGATCCATATCCATGGTGGCCCGCAGACCCAGAGTGGCGATTTAATGAACGTGTTTCACTAAGCAAGAATGTGTGTTTGCTAAGGAAAATAGAGATTGAGAGCAAGGAAGAATCGGGAGATAAACCGACCAAAATGCCTCGCGATCCAGTTTTAGGTTTTTTTGGGGGAAGTTACTAACTTCGAGGATCTTTTTCCCAAAAAGCCCCCCGGAACTGGTGCTTTCGGATATGATTGATGTTCCGTCCCATGACAAAATTCGGTCGGTTCAAACCAGGTCTCCCCATGAGGTCTACGACAGTCGATCTCTTGAGTGGGGAAGTGGGGATGGGTCCAACGGTCCAACTGGGGGATCCACACACTTTGCCATGTTTTTTTGCATGACTGGTTGGTGGTTTGGATTTGTTTCACCAAGGACATGAGCACCAACATCTTCATCATCATCATCATCATCATCATCATCTGGTTTGTGGTTTCAAACATGAATTCTATTTTCCATAATATATTGGGATAATCGGATAACCCTTCCCATTGACGAACTCCATCATTTTTCAAGATGGTTATTGCACCAGCAACCAGATGAAAGACGAAGAAACCATCCATTTGGCGAGGTGATTTTGATCCATGGGCGGAGCGGGAGCGGGAGCGGTGGAGCCAATTCCCGCAGTTGCGGTTCCCATCGTTGCGGTTCCCATCAGTTGGAGGTTCTGTAAATTCCCGCAATGACAAAGCTGGGGTTACCCTCTGGTAAACAGCCACATAGCGAACTGGAAAATCATCATGTTATATAGGTAAGCAGGTAAACCAACTATAAATCACCTGCTTGGTGGTTTGGAACATGTTTTTTCTCCGTATATTGGGAATTTCATCATCCCAACTGACTTTCACTCCATCATTTTTCAGAGGGGTAGGGCTCAACCACCAAACAGTCACCCATTTTCCATAACTTTTGGTACAATGTGAGGCCCCCCAGTTATAAGTTGGTTTATAAATGTTTATAAGCCCCAGTAACTATAGTTGTAAGTACCATAAACCATAGTTATTGGAGTTATGGAGTTATAAATCAACTTAGATATCTTGGGGGCCCCACATTGTAGATATAACATTGGAAAATCAAACATCTGCTGTGTTTTCAAAGGCACCAGTCGCACGACATTCAGGTGATTGATACGAAAAAGGCAGCTCCTTTCCATTCATTGAAAATTCGCATTTATGGATTATATGGACCTGGATATTTATGGATTATATATTTTTTGTGATTTTATATGACATATATATATATATGGATTGATATGTTTCTATGGATTTATGGATTCTATGATTCTATTCCATCAAAACATATCAAAAGCCCTATAAAATTGACACGTGCTCAAAAAGAATAAAAACGCTTTCACCATGGCCGCAGCCGTCGACGAAGCGAGGCTGGTGGACACGGGCCTAAGTTGTGTGGCCTTCGCTTTGCTCATTGGTGATTACATGGCCAAGAGTGTCGCTTGGAGCATCTGGGTCGGTCAAGCAACTGGACAAGCAACTAATTTATACTATATAATTGAATAATGTAAACCAGGTTTTTTGTTAGTAAACCCCCAATTTCTTTATTAAGCGGATTTCCCATTAAAAAAGATCATTTATAAATGATGTCCCCATATTTTCCCAGCCATAAACCTCCATGTGTTTAATGGTCTTTTTCCATGGTTCTTCCCATCATTCCTAGGGGATTCTTTATGATTTTCCAAGGTCGGCGGCCTCTGTCCGCATCTTCCGCCGGAAGTCACGTCGCGACGCAGCCTGGTGGCCGTGGTGACGTTGTTGGCGTTGATGCTTGGCGTGGGGCTTCAGTGGTGCCGGGTGGCAGCCATTGAAAATCGCCCCATTGGCCGGGCCTTGTTGGTTAGTTGGAGATTTTCCAAGTCATGGGTTATAAGGGTACACCCAAATCATCCAAGTCATGAATGACCATATGACTTAGTAATGAAACCTGTGGTTTGGGGCATCCCTCATTTTAAGAAACCCGAATATAAGCTATTATAATCATATGATTCTTAAACCGATACATGTTGGTGGGTTGCTACATTTCGTCATCGTTTAAGCAGCAAACGTGGGATGATCTAATTGATGACGGATCTCAGCAGCGAAATTCAGGGGATCTAAGCCTCTGAAGTAGGGGATATTAAATGTTTATTAAACCAATGCCAGGTTCGTATTAACCCCCCAGAAGGTTTAAAAAAACACCCCCAATTGAAAAACTAGGGCTTGTCATCAAAGTAGTATTGCCAACATTTGTTTGAAATGTGGGTCTTGACTAAGTCCGGTTCATTCTTGAACCACCCTAGCTTTCAGCTTTAATCTTTAATCTTTATTGGTTTGGCAAGTCACACTTTGGACCACGTCATATTTCCACTCCTGTGCCCAACAGTTTGCCAGTGGATCAAAGAAAAATCAGATAGAGAGAGAGAGAGGTAGATATATATATATATAGATAGATAGATAGATGGATAGATAGATAGATAGATATAAATACATACTCACATACTCACATACTCACACACATACATACATACATGCATGCATGCATGCATGCATGCATGCATGCATACATATACATATATATATGTATACGGGCGCTGCCAACGTGATGGGCACTGAGGCTGGATTTGTCGGGACGAAGATGGTTTGTTCAAGCATCCAAAGTGGAGGTACTCCCACAGAATACCACTAAAGCATACCATAACTAGGACTTTAGGGAGTTGGGTTCCTTACGTGTTACAAACAAACAAACAAGTACATATATCTATACATATATACACATATTTATGTTTATGTCTGTGTATGAGATCACCTCCATTTTGAGTGCTTGAATCTTAGCAGTGGAGTTGGAGCAGCTAGAGAAACCAAAAGGTAGATGACACAGAGATTGGAAAGAGGAAAAACTATGAACATAGGGTCAAGCAGCTTCATTGAAAGATTGCTTTGTTCGGATTTGCTGGGCCGCTTGTGGAAGCCGTTTTTTGTGGACGGCCATGCCCATGTTTGTGCGGTTTTTTTTGAGGCAGCATGGACATGGGCACAATCAAGGCAAACCGTAGAGAGTTGGCAAAAAAGACAGCAACTGTATCCAAGCACAATTCCAACAGCTAGAGTGACGCTTTTTCAGCACACCCATTAGGATAGATTTAGCGTTGTTCATGGCCTTAGCCGCTGCCGATGTGAGCGATGCGCCGCCGATACTGCAAGGACGCCAGCAGAGCAGCACGGAGTTGCAAAACCATTTGAACACCTGCCAGCAAGATCACCACACCTGCGTCCATTGTTGGTTTGCGGCTGGTGTCATGGCCATATTTCATGTGATGGTGGTGGCGTCTGTTTTCTGGGCCTTAGCATGTTGACGATGTGGTGCCACAGTTTTTCCATTGCATTGTCAGCCTATATGTCTATGTAGTCAAGCTGACAGGTTTCGCAGAGGTATTGTAGAGGTGCCATAGAGGTACTATAGAGGTGCCGGAGAGGTACTGTAGAGGTGCCGGGGAGGTACTGTAGAGGTGCCGTAGAGGTACTGCAGAGGTGGCGCGGGGTGGCTCATTTTTGTTACTACCCAGAGCTTTGCACACCCCATTGGTCTGAATCCATGCAAGTTTTGATTCTTGTTCATGAGTTCTATTGAGTTCTTCTGCTGTAGGTAGTTTGTTGGTCTTAAAGACACACTTGTCCTGTGGTTCGTGTGTAAGCGTGGATAGCGGATTGCATTGCATCTTTGGAAATCGTCCCTGCTGCTAGGCTATTTGGGCCGTTTGCGGAAGTCAGCTGCGGGCCTCAAGCCAGCTTCATGGGAGCACTCCTGGAAGCGCAAGTGCGTGTTCAAGTTTGGACAAGGTCATGCCTCTTGGCTAGTTTGCTTGGACTCACCTTTCCAAGTCGGCTGCTGGGTTTGCCATTCAGCTGGCGTCAAAACAGCTTTTGGGAGATTGGCCGTGACGAAGGTTCAAGCTCTTAAATCTGTCAACTTGCAGAACCACGAGAAGCAGAAGGTCCATGTGCAAGCTTTGGAAAAGCTTCAGTCCCCTGGCCAAAGCCAACCTGACCAGGAAGATCTAGTGGATGGCCACGTTAGTGGTTTACCTCTGTCAGTGCCAAGACTTGACAAATGGATAGCTGCAGTGAATGCCCTGGTGGACAGAGCTTCTTACAGTGGGGTGCAGGGCCGCGTGGAGGCTGGCAGTGTCGGAAGCGCTTTGCTCGCTGGAGGCGACAGCAGCAGCAAGGTGGTCAGGCAGATGTATGCATGTCTGGGGTCAAGATTAGCGGCCTTGGACCTGGCTCGCATCAAAAGAGCGGTTAGTGGAAGCCTTGCAATCGACAAGGGGCATGGGCACGTCGTAGTGTATGGCAGGATGCTGTGTACTGACGGCATCTACGATTCTTGGATTTGTTTCAAATGGCATATTTTTTTCGCGTGGCACATTTTTTTCGGCGGATCCATCCCGAAGTTCGTGAAAATTGTCTTATGTTTATTGCTCCAAGGACTGGTTTCTGGGGCTTGGGGACCATGTGCCGGATAGCGACGAGCCTGACGCCAGCAGATCAGTCCTCAAAAGCTTGGAAGACGTCTTGAAGAGAGCCTGCACAGTGCATGTCGAAACAAGGACTTAGCTTTGAGGGTCGCGCCCGGATTGAGAATATCAAACCCGGGTATATGGCTCCTCCAAACTTTCGACTCTAGCCGTAATTTTGGTTGGTTTAGCTTTTTTGGAAGCCTGTTCAAACCCTTAAAGGAGATTGCAGAATGTCCACAGCAGCGATGCAGACCACTTGGACAATGAAGCTTTCAGCAACTTGAGACGCTGCTGTGTTTCGCTGGTGGCTGATGGTGGCCCGACAGAGCAAAGGGCTTTGTATGAGGCATCTCCGCTGGCTTCTGGGTTGGGCGGCGCTTCAGCTGATGAGTGCCTTTTCCCGAACTGCATGCTCATCACCCGGGATCGAGCGCATCGTTTTCGCTCTGTGGACAAACAGTTTTGGTCCAGTTTGCCATCCATTTTCAAGGACTTCTTGGCAAAGCTGGTGACTGGAGACCGATCACTAGCACGATTGCTTGAGACATCTGAGAAATTTGCACACGTTTTTTGTTTGCATTGAAGTGCGTGGGAATTCGAGGGCCTCGTGTGGTTGGGGCTAGCCAGCTACTGTTTGTGAAAGGCTAGTTGTTCCCCTCCTACTAGCTGAGGTCCCTAGATTTTATCAGGGTCACTTCCTCTTTCGTGCTTCTGCTTCTCCTTCTTCCTCCTTCTTTCCCTTCTTCGTCCCGGACTTTCACTGCCAGCTCTAGATGTCAGTGGGCACTGCCGGACGGCAACTGCGAGATCCAGATCACAGTGGGCACTGCCGGGTCTCAACCTTGGAGGTCGGGAGGCTTTGGAATGCTTTGGACCTGGTGCCACATCGCGGGCTCAGGAACCTGTGGAGTGGCTTTGGAGCGGCCCTGGACCTCACACATGCCAGAGAGATTGCCAAAGAGAATGCCAGACAGAATGTCAGAATAGATGCCAGATAGAATCCCAGAATGAATGCCTTAAAAGATGCTAGATAGAATTGCAGATAGAAAGTGAAAATAAATGCCAGAAAGAATGTCAGATAGGATGTCAGAGTATATGCCAGAAAGAGTGTCAGAATATGTTTCAAGTAGAATGCCAGAAAGAATGTCAGATAGGATGTCAGAGTATCTTGCTAGAAGAGATGCCAGAAAGAATGTCAGAACAGAATGTCAGAAAGGATGCCAGAATAGACTTTCTGAAAATACATGCCATATATAGTTCCAGATAAGAATTCAGAAACTATGACAAAATAGTGTCACGGTGGGGATCACTCGAAGTAATGTATTTTGGCTTCAAAGCTCTTCAAAATGCAACTGAAGCCCACGGCATTCTTTGCCTGCCTTCAGCTTGAATTGAGGCTTTCGCAGCGAAGCAAAGGAAGGATGTTGAGAGTGCTGTGGGCTTCAGTCGCATTTTGAAGAGCTTTGCCTATGCCGAGCACAGGTTTGATTCGCGAAAGCGGCCGCTTTTCCGACTGTTCAGGTTGTTGCCGTTGGTCATCGACTTGCTCGAGGAGGTCAGTGCCGCCGTGGGTCCCTTCGATGAGGAAGACCGTGCTTGGGCCGCTGCGTTGCTCCAGGAGTTTGGTGGGGACGAGGGCTATTGCCGTGTTGTGGGCTCCGCGGTGGCTGCTGATGCACTAGTCATGGCATGGCCTTTGATCAAAGTTGCCGACCAAGCTTGCGCAGACTTTGCGCTCGAAGCTCCAGCTGCTGCGCAGTGCCTTGCAACGCTGAAGCTGATGCTTTGCCATGGGGGGATCTTTTTACCGGATGCTTCAGAGACACTGACGCATTGCGCTTTGCATGCAGTGAAAGAACGACAAGTGAGCCTTGGGCGCAGGCAAAAGTTGTGTAACTTTTTTGGCCTTTATTCGAGTCGCCTCGCGACGAGTACCGCCCACACCCAGAAAATTAGATAAAAAAGAAATTGCGGGCCTACTTGGTCCAACCAAAAACTTGGGGGTCAAATTTGGCCGTCCTTGGCCGAAAGTTAAGCCGAACAGGAGTCAGCCACCTTGGGCCCAACTTGGCCGTAACTTGCGCCACGTGGGCCAGTTGGTTCCAACTTGAGCCCAGCTTGAGCCGAGCTGGGGTTCAACACGGCGCAACTTGGGCACATTTGGGCCCAAGTTGGGCTTAATATGCACAACTTGGTCCTGTGTGGGGGCATCTGGCTCCGAAGTTGGGCGCGAAACAAGTCCAATGTGGGCAACATGTCCTTGCACGAACCTCCATCACAGCAAAAAGACGTTTGGAAATAGCTTTAAACATGAAAATTCTCAGCTTGTCGCATACAATCCGCAAAATTGGCCCGGTCTGGGGCTGTTGCGTCTTGCGCCCAACTCGACACCGGGTTGCCGCCAATTGGTCATGTTGGACTGAAGTTGGGCCCAAAGGGACCCCAAATTGAAGCTATGTGTACATGGAGGTCCAGGTTGTGCTGAACATGGTGCAACTTCGACCCTCGCACCTTCAAGGTGGGCCCACCGGAGACACAACATCGGGAACATTGCTCAACACGTGGCATCCTCCATGCCAAGCAAACCGTTAGAAATAACAATGAAAACCGGTTTTCAATTGGGCGGCCATGTGTTCCACATTGAAGCCATGTGGACTTCAACTTGCGCCAAAGTTGCTCGCAAACGGCTCCAACTTGGGGTTATAAGTTGCGCTATATTGGAGCCAAAATGGGCCGAAGTTGGAGCCAAGTGGTCCAAGTTGGGCGGAGATTGGGACCTTGTTGGGCGAAGTTGAATCCAAGTGGATGTTGCAGCCATGTCGGATCGAAACATTGCACTTGGACGATGTTTAGCTGATTTGCAAAACGTGCAAATTTCCAACAGTCCCCGTGCACTTGTTGGCGGCCCGCTGAGCGAACATCCGCCCCCGCAGCTGAAGCTGTACCAGGTGAGCAGATCTGTTCCTTGCTTCGACTCCTCATGAACTATCACGCCCCGACGCCTTCCGTGCGGTGGATTTCCGGCTCTCAGGTCGGCTTATCCTCTTTTCACCTGTTTGGCCTTTGTCGGCTGTATTTTGCTGTTTGCCATGGTGTCCAACACCGGACTTCCTTCCGAAAGCAAGCCTGTGATCAGTGAATGTTGTCATATATATCTATATGTATATTGAATAGATAAATAAATATATAGTTATGTAAGTTATGTATTTATTAATATTATATGTCAAAATGATACATATATATATATACATTGATATCAATGAATAAATATAATCTATTTCTTTTTATGCTCCTCATTGTTGGATATCAGCAATATAAAATCAACAAATACGTAATAAATAAACAAACAAACAAATAAATAAATGAATAAATAAATAAATATATATATATATATATATCGATGCTTCGGAATAAATGTCGGAAACGATGTCGTGATTTATGGGAGAACATGGGTGTGAATTCATGTCAGCACATGTATGACCGTAGATATGTTGGCATGTGTAGGGACTGCACGAGCCAAGCATCTTTTGTACTTCCAAAACAAGTTTGTTGGAGCAAGTTTTCTTTGGAAGGACGAATGGATGTAAGCTTCACAATCAACAGAATCCTGATGAGGTTCATGGGCCGAGGGAAACCAGAGAAGCTTCGAACTGCGGTGGTTCGGTGGCCAGCCCCTGACACGCCTGAAAGACGGGAGCCAATGACAATTGCGAAGAGGCCAGGATCTCAAGTGCAGCTGACCCACGGCAGACTGCATCTTTTGTTTTAGGTGGATCACTGCATACGATTGCATTGGGCTGGTAGTCTGCTCACCCTGTCACACTAGCAAAACGAACTCTTTGTGGCTGCGCCGCATCTGCAGGTTCTACAACATTTTTGAGACCTTCTTCAACACAAACTTTCCGGGGTACGAGGAGTTTATTGCAGTTTTTGCATACTGTGTGGCTCTCATTCGCGGGGTTGATTTAGTGTCCAGGTGTTCCGTATTTCTTGGCTACTGCATGTTAGGTTGCTCTCCGTTGGTAAAATATGAGGTTAGAACTCCTTCCAACTTATTGTATATTCATCCTATGTAGTGCCTCTAGCCAAATTCCCCAAACAGTGTGGCCACACTGAAGGGGTTCTTACGGTAACAGTTAAAGCCCGGTGTTTAATCGAGGTGTTCTCATATGCGTCCGGCTTTTTCCCTGTAAATTTCAACACGAAATGGCTCTGGAGAAATGTCCATGTGCGTTTCGATTGCGCAGGCTCGCACAAAATGCTTGCCGCGGGATTGGCGTACGGCATTTTACCGGTAAATTTCCACACAAAATGGCTCTTGTGAAATGTCCGTGTGCATTTCGATTGCGCAGGCTCGTACAAAATGCCGTGCCCGGGATTGGGGTCCGGCATTTTTCCTGTAAATTTCCACAAAATTGCTCTTGTCGGATGTCCATGTGCATTTCGACTGCGCAGGCTCGCACAAAGTGTGCTTCCCGGTCTTGGGAAAGGTCTTCCTCCTCAACGTCCTCCCCCTCCACATCATCATCTTCCTCCTCCTCAACATCCACTTCATCATCTTCCTCAACATCCACTTCATCATCTTCCTCTCATCATCATCATCATCATCATCATCAGCATCATCATCATCATCATCCTCATCCTCATCATCATCATCATCATCATCTCATCCTCATTATTGTCAGCATCATGAACATCACAGCGGTCATCATCATCATGATGATCATCATCATCATCATGATCATCATTCTCATCATCCTCATCCTCATCTTCATCATCATCATCATCATCATCATCATCATCATCCTCATCATCATCATCATCATCATCATCCTCATCCTCATCCTCATCCTCGTCCTCATTAGAATCATTGCCTTCTTCTTCTTCTTCATCATCATCATCATCATCCATATTATAGTGCAGTATCCTTTTACCCCCCCACACTGTTTGGGGTCTCTTGCCGGGATAATCTTTTAACAGATTTGCAGTACTTGTTAAAGGGGTCTTCGATTGCATCCTGCACGGCAAACTTTTGAAGTGTTGCTAGGAGGCCAATGCTTTCGGGGCTTTCAATTTGTCTGCGCAGATCGCGCTTCCCAACCGAGAGCGCTGGGTCAAATTTCTGTGTGAGCGATTTGGCATTGACGGGTCCGAAGCTTGGAAAAGTTGGCTCGGCAACGGTGAGACCACCGGTGTTTTTGTACGAGCGCAATGGCATTTTTCCATGCATGGGGTGAAGGAATTGCACCGGACCAAATCTGCATGCCACGCACCAGAGTCTCCTCACCAAGAAGCATGGCTGGCGACGTGGTTCGAGATTCGCCGGGTCAGCTCCCATTCTGCTGTCTGCCGCTTGGTGGAGATTTACTTGAGTGCATTGAGTGGAACTGGCACCGTGGAGCGGTTCATACATCTCAAAGGCGACCTAGCCCACAGTCGCCCGAATCTTTCCACCAGGAATTTGGAAATCAGCTTGAAGCTTTTGGTGCAAGATGATGGGGGTCGCCGCCGGTCCCGTTTGGATGCAGAATCTTTGTTGTGCAAGCCAACCTCCGCAAAGACCGCTGGTGGAGCCACAGCTGTGCACCCTGCCAGTCAAGTGCTTTTGAGAGCTCAGAGGCTGTATGCAGCCTACTTTGGCGAGAAGCCGGGCAAGGCCAGAGACATGGAAGCCCATTCCCCTACCTCGCTGTCTCGACAAAGGCTACTTGCACAAAAGCCGAGGCTTACAATATGCAAGGACAAGAGTGACAAGTCCGAGAAAGCGACCTTGGAGAAACATGCTGCTTCTTGCGCAGCAGCGGCTAGCAAAGTCCGGGAAGGTGGCGTGATGGAGGGTGTGCTCGGTGACATCCCTTCGTCAGATGGCGGGGCATCCGAGTCGGGCATCTTGAATTCAATGGCTCAAGCTGCTTGGCACATGAGGAAGGAACGGAAGGCCTTCGTTCAAGAAGCTTCTGAAAGAGTATCTTGGCGCAGCGCATTTTTTCCACGTGCTTAGGGATATTCCGTGTGTTTTCTCCTTTGGGCCCATGTGTTTGCAAGTCTCAAAACTTGAGCCAAGAACTGAAACAAGAAGGGAACCAGTTCGCATAACCTCAGGTCAGTGCGCCATCTTCTAGCTCAAAGGCAAGGACGGACGCAACAGCAAAGAAACGAGCCTTGGAGGCGTCGACGGGAACTCCACAACCAGTTTCCAAAGTGCCAAGAGTTGCTGGAGAACAAGCTGTTTTGAGCGAGGAAGATTGGGCTGCAGCTGACAAAGCTGTGGCAAACCAGAAGGCCATTGCGGATAAGAAGGCTTCAGTTTTTCGAGCTGCTGCAGCAGGGCAACCTGTGGATTACGTGGATGCGAAAGGTGGCCTGATGCGGCCGAAAGGCGCCCCTCCAGTAGCAGCAGCCAAAATGCCTTCGTTGCCACCTGAGCCTTACCTGTTCTTGGAAGGGGTCAGGAAGAGCGAAGCGAAACAATGCACCCACTTGCCTGAAAAATGGATCCGCACCAAGGAGATCAGGGAGGTGCACTTGGTCTTGGTGAAATCGGTGCCACTCAGCTGGCGAGGGCCAGCGGCTTTGCTGGCGCGAATGGTGGGCGCCAGGCTTATGGACCTTGAAGGCAGGATGACAGCATTCAGAGGTGTTCTGCGCCATTGCCACATGGTACTTTTTGTCACCTCCGGATTTGAAAGCAAGCATCCAGATCACGCCAAAGTTCTCCGTCAACTGGGCCTATTGAGTCCTTTCATGACTGTGAAGCAGAATCAGCAGCGCCGGCGCTTGGAAGTTCATCGCGGCGATGTGATTACCAGGGTGGAGTGGCCCACACTTACACATGTCTTGGTGGCAGAAGCCGATGCAAAACCCCTCCGATGTCAGGATCTGGATGGAAAGGATGTCAAAGTCAAATGTTTGGATTTGACAGAATTTTTGCACTTGTGTTCCAACTGCTATGAGCCGGCCTAGCTTCTTAGATTCCCACCTCCTTTGTTCCACCAACGTTGGAGCATGAGGCAGCGAGGGCTGCCTTGCAGTGCAGTGTGGGGCATGCTTCAGAGCACGTGCCGCAAGCGGAAAAGCATGATTTGACATATGGGTGCGGGAATGGTTCAAAGCATGATTTGACATATTTGCGTGTGGGAGTGATTGGCAATATGTTTGAACGCAGAGAAAGACAATGCTTCGTGTTTTTTTCCAGGGAGAAACATGTCTGTTGAGGAAATTGCTTTCAGCCATAGGTTGCAATGCGTGTTCGTTCACTCTCGTGAATTTTAGGCTTCCAGTAGGCAGCGAGGCAGGCATTGGCAGAATGGGAAAAAAACCAACGAAGAACTCGGCTTAAACCGGCCACCCAATGCTTTTTCTTTGTGGTGTGGTTTTGTAAGCACTACGGGAGTGAAACTTCCTGTGCGTGTCCGGCTGCGTAAAAAAACCTTGGTGAACAGCAAGGGCCAAATTTCTAGTCGATGGCATGGCATGAGCACGAGAGAGAAAGAGCCTTTCTTCCGGGCTGCCCAGACACAGGTTGCAGCGAATGAGAAGTGCCGGCTTGCTGCACGCTTGCCTATAGCTCGGTCTGTGGCCAAAGAGCCCGGGTTGGAAACCTAATGTTTTTTTTTCGGCCAGATTTGAAAGCTTTTCTACAGAATAGCCGCATCATCATGTAAACTCATTTTGGTGGACAGTTTTTCAGGGCAAGTACTATTTGGGTTCATTGCTACAGCCTGGAGGAGGATGCGGCTCCAACTGCTTCACTTCCTCTGGCGATCTTCGAGTGGCAAGGTGGCCAACTTTAGTGCGAAGAACGAATAGGGCAAGGAACCTATGGCCAGGTTTTTGCAGCGCGGGAGAAGTGCTCTTCCCGACTCTATGCGTTGAAGATTGCTCAGTCTCGCCACGAGCATGTGTCTACGCTGGGTGATCTCGCTCATGAGTTTGAAGTTCTTCAGCATTTAGGGTCCCATGCTCACGTGGTTCCTTGCCTCGGACTGTTGCCTTCCAGCAGCCAGAAGGCGCCTGTCTTCATTGCGTGCTTGTTTTGACACGCTTGCGCACCGCTTCTTCCCGAAAACTGGTCATTGTTTTCACGCATGTTTGAACAGAGTTCTTGTGTCAGACAGCTGGCTGGGAGTAACGGAGACACCAGGGAAGGGATAGAAGATCAGAGAAGAGAAAAAGCGAGAAGAAAGACGATGCAGGTGCGCGAAATTTGTGGCTCCGGAGGGTCGATAAGTAGGCTCGCTAACGCGGCGGGTGCGGAGCCAGTTGGCCAGATGGGAGATGAAAAAAATCACGCCATTGTGGTGCCAAGCACATGTCCAAGTCAAAATGTGCAAAAAGCACGCCATTCTCGGACCACTTGGAAGTTGAGATGTCGAAAGAGTCTCAAAAGTGCTTAAATTTGTGTCCCAACTTGAATTTTCAGGAAAGCAACTTTTTTTTCCTACTTAAGAACCTTATCCCAAAGTTTTTTTGTTCGGCGGACTTTGCAGTTTCAAAAACCAAACATCCCAAACCATGCCACGCGAAAATGCTTTGGACCTGAGGATATCCAGCTTAGAGTATCCCTACTCAGCCATAAACATCTTGAAGATTCAATGTCCCAAACTGCATGGGCCATTGATTTTGCATTTTCATCGGACACCTGAGCTGCCATAGTTTTAAAAGCAATTTGTATGTATTGAATTTCATGTGAGAGTCATGCAATGTTTCTCCAGAAAGCATATCACTTGGATGCAGTGAGTTCACAGGCATTTGAATTTATATCCCATGTCGTTCATTAGACGGCTTTACCCGTCGCGCGCCTTTATCCACACAGCATCAAAATACATTTTCTATGCATTCTTCTCGCAGCTATAAGTCGTTCTGGATTTGTTTACCAAGCTTACAGCTCGTCGCTCAAGAAAGCAAGACTTTTCAGTATCTTCAAAGCATCTCTGCACGAGGGATTTTAGACCCACAAGGTCTGACCTTGCGCAGGCCATTGACTGTTTGGGATGTTACCAGAGGGGATTTTTATGTTCTTGCAGAAGCTGTGGTCTTACAGCCAGCAGTTTTCACCAGCCTCTCTTGTTTGGGTGATTGGGAAGAAGTTTCTGGCAACTTTGCTTACCAGACTTCCACAAAATGTTTCCAGCTTCCATTTGTTTTCCACCCAAGAAGGGTTTGAAGTTTCCACGGGCTGTTTTCGAAAACGAGATTATATATCTATATATATATATCTATATACATATATATGTATATATATATATATATCGCATGGTGTACCTTGGTTTATGGCGAAATGTTTGTTTATCCAAACTTCGCACCCATCCATGATTTCGGGGAAGTGCCAGGACATGGGCTTGCTTTTGCCTTTGGCCAGCTGCTCTCTTCACGAATACCTGAATGGCTGCCCGTTGATGATCTCCAGCCCAGAGAATGCCTTGGAGAACCGATGCCGTTTAGCAGTGCAAATTTTTATGGGGCTGCAATTCATCCATGCCAAGCAAGTTGTACATTTAGATTTGAAAGCCTCAAATGTCTTGCTTGTTTTAGACAGCCAAAGCAAGAACGGCCCACCTCTAGCCTGGCTTGCTGACTTCGGCCTCAGCCAACAGATGCCAGGCCACGTCTTTGGACATTTGGTTTGCAGCAAGCCATATCGGCCGGTTGAATGTCATTGCTCCGGCCGTGAGAAGATGAAATTGACCCCTGCACTGGATATCTTTTCACTTGGGTGTTTGCTGTTTGAACTTATTCAAACTGGCCCTCACAGGTTCCTCTTTCCTTCTGCGGAAGACATGTTTCATGGCTTGCCTTTGCCCGTGGCGCAGCAAAAGGCTGCAGACCACGTTGCCCACAAGTTGAGATTTCTTGACCCGGCCGGCGCCGAGACCATCAAGCTGTGCACGGCACCGGTCCGGGCACGGGGGGAGTTGGAGTCTGCCAGGCGGCTCTGGCTTACTCAGCGCTGCTTGCGTTGAAGGGGAAGCAGCACCAATAGCTGCAACGGGTCAAATACAGAAGGGCAAGGGTCGGTAGGTGAGCTTCTGTGTGCATCTTTAGGTGACAAGTAGCGATACCTCAGCTTCCGTGCAATGCCTTGTACACATGACCAAAGCATAGGATTCGTTTGTGACATGCTTCTGCGACAAGTCCAGGAATCCATATTGCTGCAGCCTTTGCAGAGCTTCAGTTGCGCCTATGGCCCCAAAACCAAAGGCCGTCAGAAAAGGAACGTTGAAAAGACCGGCGTCTAAACTTAGCCCCAAGAGCCATGATGCCCGCGTAGATGTGGCAACCTTGTCTGCAGAGAAGTTTTCCTTGACAGATTTCATCCGCGCCACATGGAATTTGAATGGATTGGCTCCCTCCAGCACGTGCAAGAGAGCCTTGACAGTTTCCAGCTGCTGTACTGGTGTCAACTCCTTCGGCTACGTTCTCAAAAAGATGGTGCATTGCCTGGGCCAGCAGGTCAAGCTCAAGGATTTGTTCGGCTCGGAATGCGACAAGGCTTGCCAAGCTTTTTTGCTCAGGAACAATCGCGCACCGCGATGCCTCTTTGAAGCTCCTTGGCCAAAACGCTCACAAAAAGAACATGTTCACCAAGTTTGTGGCCTCTGTTGAATCCATTTTAGTTTCAAGCTTTGGGCAGTGAAGCCATTCCCAGGATGCATCAGATGTAAGCACCTGCAAGCAAGCTGCTTGCGCAGTGCATGCGAGAATGTGCGTTGTGCCCTCTTCAGTTGCTGGTGGTGAAGATGACCTTTACCAAAGCTCTTTTGTGTGTCATTGGAATTCCATTCAAAATCCCAAGAGGTTTCAGCACGATGTCACACAGATTGCTCAGCCAACCTGGGAAGCAACCCGAGCGGATATCGCTGCTCGAAGACCACTTTATGCTCTTTTGGAGAACGTTACCGGTCTTCAGCGCGATCCTGAGTCAGGCTTACGATTTTCAACGTTTTGCTAAATGGTTCGCCCGCCGCAGTGCAATTTCGAAGATTTGCAGTGACATGTGTTTTTTGATTAGAGACCCAGGCTTGCTGCTGGTGGAGGGAACGGTGAGCCAGCTTTGAACCATTGCTTGCAGCAGCTGCGAGAGATCCCTGGGTACACTGTGCACTCTTGTGAAGCCACTGCCCACCCCTTGCCAGCCGACAGGACAAGGATTTTGAAACTGCTGCCTTTTTCCTTCGGTGTTTCCAGTTTTTCCTCTTTTTGTTCTTTGTTGGAGACGCGCGCCACGGCCCTGAACTTCCAGGAACCGTTGCTTGATCTTCTTGAGTCGCAGCGAGCAACACCCAGCAGAAGTCCTTTGCCAGGAATTTGAATCACTGCAGTCCTCTGTGAAGCTCAACATGCGCAGGCATCATCTGGACACCTGTTTGGTAGCACATGCCTCTGCAACCAGCCAGCAAGAAGGTGGTTCAAATCCCTTAGAAACGACTGCATCCGATGACGCTCAAGATGCAGCTGCCTACTTTCAATATTTCAGCAGTGGATTGGAGAAGGCTTTCAAGAAGGGTCGCTTGCCACCTGGCTTCAAAGTTGTTCCAAGAGAAGAACGTCCGTCGTGCAAGCACATCGCCCTTCAGAAGAAGTCAGCATGGTGCAGGGCACAGGCAGACGTCTATTTCTTCATCGGCCAGTTTTTAGCTCAGCAAGAGCAGGTGGAGGACGCGCACGTGTTTAAAAGCTTTTGTTTCAGTTTCGGTAGAGACATTTTTTGGTTGCGTATTAAATTGCCAGATATAGAAATATTTGTACATGTCGCCAGAAGCCAAGAGTTCACAACACTCTTTGCCGATCTTGGCGTTTCAGCTGGCTTTTGGAGTCGTTGCATTTTTTTTGGCTTAGCACCATTGTCTCGTTTTTATTCATATTTGTCAGGATTCTCGGAGCATGGTGGCAGACATTTCGCAGTCCGCCGACAGGGGCAAACTTTGTCTCCGTGGAACTCTCCCTACCTGCACAACCTCGTC